CCAACAGCCATTGATCTATCCTCCACCTCTATATATTTTTCACTTCAAGAATGGAATCGTGCAATATGTGGCCTTTCCAGATGGGCTTTTTAAATTCAGCCTAATTCCCTTGCGGCCTTTTGAAGTCATTATATGCTTCAATAGTTAGTTCCTTTACATTGCCCAGTAGTATTTCAAGATATAGGGGTACCAGCCTCCCTAACCTTTCATCCACTGAAAGACACTTCAGTTGTTTCCAGTTTGGAACTAATACAAATAAAGCTTCTATGAGCATGTGTATTCTGGGTGTCATGTGAATATGAATAGTTTTTTTTAAATATTTGAAATCAGTCCCCAGTAGGGCAAGTATAGGTCATATGGTAAGGGCACATTTCACTTTGTAAGAAACTCCCGTACTCTTCTCCAGAGCAGCTGGATCATTTTAAATTTCTAACAGCAATGTGTAACTGGCCCAGTTTCTCAGCACCCTCATCAGAATTTGGTATTATCGCTACTCATTTTCACTTTAGCCATTTTTAGTGGTATGTGGGGATAGTACATGGTGATTTTAGTTTGCATTTGCCCAATAGCTAAGGGTAGCGAATATCCTTTTATGGCTTATTTGCCATCTGTGTGCCCTTTTTTGGTGCAATACCCTCAGCCCATTTTCTGTTTGGATTGAGTTTTTCACTTCAGAGTTTTAGATATTCTTTTTATATTCTAGATACTAATCCTTTATTGACTGTGTGGTTTGCAACATGCTCTTTTCATCTACTTACCAAGTTACCTCATGTGACAGGAGTTTTTAGATTTGATGTGGTCCAATTTACCCATTTTTGAATTATGCATTTTTATGCATCAACCCATTGGTGTGAAGTCAAGCAACTCCTCATGCAGCCCTTGATCCAAAATATGTTCTCTTGGGATTTTTTTCCTGATGTTTTAGTGGTTTTAAATTTTGAATTTAGGTTGTGATGCATTTTTAGTTAATTTTTTAGTGAGGTATAGTTAGATTAAGCTTCTTCAAGGGTTGTTTTGCATATTTGATGTTTGGGGCTTTGTTTGTAGTTTTAGGTACATTTTGCCCACACCATTTGTTGAAAAGGCTGTTCCTCCTGCTCTAGGGATACAGAGCTCACAGGTGCCATGGAAGACAATGTTGTCAGTGCTGTGTTTGTCTCTGCAGGTCACTGCTCCCTGGGGCTGCCTATTGATGACACCCAGGCCCTCTCCTTGGGCATCTTTCCTGTAGGAGTTCACTCGGCCTCTGTAAATGACAGGCAGAGAGTTGGCAGATAAAACCTCCGTGGCACTCACCTACAGGTGCTACAACTCTCTGGGTGAAGCACAGTCCTGATTCCCAGCAGGATGGAGCTCCGGTGGCCCACAGGGGTAGCTGTCTTGATAACGCCAGCAAAACCTTGGTATGGGTAGGGGGAATCTGGGCCCAAAAGTTAGAGACATAGGTACCCCTGGGCACTCACCTGTTGACCTAGGCCTGTATTGTGCATCAGCACCCATATGGCCCCAGCTGCACGCAGTCTGGGTTCTCAGGCCCCTGCTGCTCTCACTTTGAGCCGGCCCTGCCCAGCAGACAGCAGTGAAGCTTGGCCCTGTGTCTCTGGACAACTGGGGAGGGGCAATGCCTTGAGAACTGCTTTATTCTTACATCATAAAGTGAGAAGGAAGGGAGGGAGGGAAGAGGGAGGAGGCGAAGAGGGAGGGAAGAAGGGTCACCTGGCGCGAGGCTCCCGGTGCCCTACAGCTGACAGGAGGGTGGAAGCCTGGGAAGGCCGGGAGGAGGGGGCTCGAACTCTGGTCCACACTAGGGACCAAAGGAAAAGAACCACATTCAACAGCACACTCTGAAGGCTGCAAAGGCCTCGCCAAGACTGCACCTTAAGGAGGTGTCGCTGCAGATGTTGTCTTTTCCAGGTCTTCATGGAAGCCCGTCATCACGAGGAAGCTGCAGCTCGGTTTCCATGCGGCCCTGACGCTGGCCTTGGCTTCTGACCCTGGGAGCGGGGCTGAGTGCCAGGCTGAGTGGCGCTGGGGACACAGCTTGGTCCCCGCAGGGCCAGAGGACTTGGGAGGCTCATGCCGCAGGAGGCCCCCCGCCAGCAGGCTCCACTGCCTCTGACGCACAGCGCGCCTTGCCAGAACCCCGTTGGCTCCAGTGTCCAGACTGAAATCATTCTACCCCCACCCCCAGAACCAAGCAGAGATAGGACATGCAGGCGTCCAAGGACCACCACCTCAAAGCCAGACACCCACAGCCATGCGAGCCATTCATCTAAGAATATAAACATCAGCACAAGTGGGTAGGAGTCAGCCAGGGACAACCATGATTCTGGGCACCACTGGTGCCCAGGACCTCAGGTGGGACAGCTGTGTCCATGCAAGTGCCCCACAGAGAGACTGCAGGGCAGAGCTGGGCAGATGCCCACATGAAGCGGGTGGAGGTTGGCTGAGTCCCCTGCTGCAGAGGGGCGCTAAGCTCTGGCCCTGTTTGGCTGCTCCGTCCAAGTGTGTGTGATCCTGGGACCCTGAGCACAGCAGGGACAGCTGTGATGAGGGCATCAGAGGGCAGAGGGAGCCAGCAGGTAGCATGGGGAGTCCCCACCCAAGCTGGGTGAGCCATCCAGACAGCAGGAGGCTGCAGGGTCACCAGCTCCTGCAGACTGGTCCTCTAGCTCTGTCCTCCCTCCGCTGGGCCACCACCCCAGGTGAGTTCCTGGAGGGCCTTGTGCTCCACTCCAAGGCCAGGGCCCAAGAGGGAGGCCATGGCTTATCGGGGCCCAGCTGAGCCTGGGGCGGCGTCCCCGAGGGTGCACTGGGCACAGGGCTCAGGCGGGGCACTGGAAGGGGGGTCCCTGGGGAAGAGTTGGAGGCAGAAATGATGTCCTGGTGAGGGCAGGCCCCTGGGTGACTCCTCCCCAACCGAGCTCAGCCCTCACCACACAGTGGGCCACCAGATGTCCCCAGGGCCACCAAAAGGATGCCAGTGATCCAGGTGGCCTTTGAGGAGAAGCCGTGCTGCAGAGAGGCACGGAGGCCACACCTGCTCTCAGGCCTGCATCGGACCCTGCGGCCCCTGGACTGTGGAGGCAGGAGGAGGAGAAGTTCAAGCTCAAGGCGAGTAACTTAGCAACTTCCTGAGACCCTGTCTCAAAAACAAAACCAGAAAAGGGCTGGGACGTAGCTCAGTGCACAGTGCCGGGGTTCAATCCCTAGGACCACAACAACAAAAACGGCCTCATGGACAGGGAGCCCGGGCAGGCCGGAGGTGCTGGGTGAGGGTGGACATAGACGTTGCGCCTTCTGGTTCTCTAGGAAGCACTGCCCACCCTGGGCCCTCAGTATGCGTCTCCCCACTGTCACGGAGGCAGCTGCAGAAAGCACCTAACTCCTGACTCTACGACGCTGAGGACAGACACCCCCGTGACACCCCCGTCCAGCCTGGTCCTGCCTCTGCCCTGCCCCCACACTGTGGCTGGAAATGACACCAGGCCCCTCACCTTCCAGAAAGGGAGGTGCTGGAGCCCCAGGCTTCCCAGCAGCAGCTGCTTGGGGGAGACGGGGACCCCAGGCAGCCAGGTGGGCAATAAGCAGGGGTCTCAGCCCTGTATTTGGGGATGGTGGGAAATCCCAGCACCCCAAGCAGGACAGGAGCAGAGCCAGGTGGTGACCACCGCGGCCTCCTGGGGGTGTGGCCACACTGGGGCCTGCGCTGCCGACAAGCAAGGGGACACCTTTTTCTTTTTAATTTGATACGAAAACAAATTTTAAAAGCATTGAGGTCACTGTTGTGGATACAAACTGTTGGATGGGGTCTGGCACGCGATTTCTGTGTCTGCTCATCTATGGCTTAGCTGGGGCGAGGTCTCCTGGCGGAGGGCGAAGGCCCCCTGCGAGGCGCCCTGAAGGAGGGACCCTCAGAGTCAGGGCCCAAGGACTCACCCTCACCCTGATGGAGGCCTGGAAGGCAGAGCCAGGCCCAGAAGGGGGTGCGGGACCCTGCAGAGGGAAGGTAGGCGGGGAGTGTCTGCAAGGGGCAGGCCCTGAAGGGAGGGGAGGGCTAGGGCCTGGGGGAGCTGGCAGACAGGTGGGGATCCATCCGGGGAAAGCGGGATCAACCCCACTGGCCCGTTCACTGAGATCCGCACAGGGCGTGGAAGGCGCCCAGCTAAAGCGGGAGACGTGGGGCGGAGCTCGGGATGGGGCGGAGCTCGGGGTGGGGGCGGAGCTCGGGGTGGGCGGGGCTCGGGATGGGCGGGGCTCCGGATGGGCTGACCTAGCAGCAGCAGCCCCCGCTCAGCCCCCCTTGGGCGGAGGTTGGGCACCCGCCTTTCTGCCGCCCCCTGTCGGCGCAGAGGACTCACTGCCTGCGGCGTGCAGCGGCTGGGCTCTGTCCCGGTTCGGGCCTCGTCCTCTCGGCCTTTCCCGCCAGACCTGACCAGAAAGTTCGGGAATCTGGCGCTGCTCTGCAGGTCGGCCTCGGTCCCGGGATGTCGGAGATCAGCCCTGAAGGACGCCCCTGACCTTCATCCCAGCACCTGGGAAAGGGGGACCCTTGGGAAGGAGGCCGGAAGTGAGGGAAGAGAGCAGGGAACGGAAGAAGGATGTTCAAAGTGATGAGCCCTGCGCTAGAGTTGTGCTGTCTCGTTTGTCCTGGGGATTGAACCCACAGTCTTCCTGCACTAAGCTACATCCTCAGCTCTTTTTTATTTTTAATTTTGAGGCAGGGTCTTGTTAAGACACAAAATTGCCCAGGCTGGGCTCACAGTTGTGATCCTCCTGCCTCAGCCTCCCAGAGTGGTGGATTACAAGTGTCCTAGAGGTTTTCACACAAGCACACACATAAATCCTCGAATGTAACCCTAACCCTAGAAAACACGGATAATGCGTCTTAGAGCAGGCCCCAGGGAAGCGCTGTGGGTGCACCCTGGCACTGACTCCCCCGGAAACATGGGCCTCATCTCCTCTCCCATCTCTTCCCGGCCGCCAGATACCTGCTGCAGCTCCAGACCTCACATCTGAGTTCCAGGCAGGAAGACGGACGGGGAAAGGACAAGGTGACAAATGGATTTCTTCTGGTGAGTGTTCCTGGATGGGACCTCTCCCCAAGAACCGCTGCTCTCTCACCTTTGCTGAGCAGAAGTGCGTGGTGCCAAGCCCTGCAGGGTTCTTTTGCTCCATTTGGATGGAAATCGTGAATTGGCAAAGTGCAGCTCCATGAGCAGGCCTGGTGCTGAGTGCCGGTGGCTCTGTGTGCTACTCCCTTGGCAGCTTTGAGAGGCTTCCGTCAGCTCCTCAGCAGCCAGGGCTGTGGCCCATTGGCAGCTATCTGGCGCTGGTCCCGCAGCTTCTGCTGCCTGTGCTGCACTTCCACAGGGCCCCCACCAGTCTCTGCTCCATGCCCCTGGCCACTGCTGGCTGCTGCACCGCTGGTTGACACCACAGGTTGAAACCAGCCACCATCACAATTAACACCACTGGACCCTGCTGGTCATCACCGCTGGTCAGTGGTCTCTCCCCTGGTCTCAGGAATGCTTCAAGGCTCACAGCCCCTAGAGTTCATGGCTCTTTTTAGTGAGATCTGCTCTGCCCCCTCCCTTCCCACACAAGAATCTTAAGTAGGCAGAGCGGGTGAGTCAATCCCAGCACCCAGGAGGAGGCTTCCGGGCTGCCATAGCACAGCCCTCCCCCCATCGAAATGAGAAGACAGGTAAACAAGCCTCAAAACCAGACTTCCAGATCACCTACACCAACCCCAAAGGGAAAGGAGATGGAACACTATGATACTCAACGACCTGGACTCCCTGAACTGGCAACAAAAGAGGATCTGGAAAAAAATGGAATCTTAAGTAGATTTACAGGACCTTCCGAGAACCACTGGAGTGAGGTTTTATTTGGGTGCATACCCCAGAAGGAGCCCTCCTCAACTAACCCGAGGAGAGTGAGGGGCACTGCTTATACAGAGCTGCCGGGGGCTGGGATCATCTGGGCTTGGTTCAGTGTTTTAGCCTTGACAGGGTGCGGTCATCAGGGACTGGCCACCAGGCAAAGTCAGCTGGGACTGGTTGAGGTTTCGAGCCTGTGTGGCAGAGCCACGAAGAGATCTCGGAGTGGAGTTCCCTGGCTGCTGCCTTCAAGGCAGACATTTCCTGGGGCTGTTGGCATTGTCTGGAGCTGTCCATCAGAGCTCAGCCTCTGCTGCTGTCAGCGGGAAAGGGGAAGGGTCAGGCTGATCTGTCTGTGCACGGAACCTCAGAGACTGCACATTTTCACCCAGGCATGTTGCTTCTCTGCATGGAGCAGAGCTGTGTTCATCCAGAAAGAATGTGGCTATTGGGGGACAACAGCTGTGTCTACCAGTGCACAGCCGTGTGCTCTGCCTTCCAGGTAAGACATCTAATGTCCACTCTTAGACAGAGAAATCAAAAACAAGAGAGTTGAAATTCCTCCTCAATCACACAGCTAACAGTGACATTCTGGTCTGACTCCAATTATTGACGTTTTATTAATCAATGATTTGGAATTGGTTATGGAGGCATTTTTATGACCTTGATTTTGAAGCATACTTATGACAACGGCTGTAAAACCCTTACCGGAGGATCTAACACCTGGCTCCCCTATTACATCCACAGGAAACTACTTCCCATCCAGGTAGTTTTCCTGCCTCTGGATATGGCCAGTAACTCTGTCCTGGGCCCTGGGCATTGGGTTGGCACGAGAGACTTGACCCTAGGTCTATTTTGTCACCCTATCCACATTTAGGTATAGGTCCTGGCTGCCTTTGTGACCTGCAATTGTGCGATAAGGGTCTGCTCCGTCATTCTGCTGCTACTGAGGCTCCTACTCAGTCCCTGCTGGTGTTATCTGTGGGGGCAGAAGCAGCTCCTGGGCCACACACTATAATCAAGGTCACCTTGGCTAGAGTCATGAGCCACAGGCCTGCGTCTCCTTGTGTCACCGGGTAGAGGAAAGGAAGACCTGTGGCTTCGTGCTGCTGTGAGTAGAGGAACTGCCCTCTGGCGGGGGTCATGGGGCAGGGCTGGGACAGCTGGAGCCTGGCTGTGGTCACTGCTGCCCACAGACCTCATGCCCCCTGGGCCTACTGGGTTATTGAGCATGGCTGAAGCTCCTCTTGGTCCCTGCTTCATCCCCTTTCCCAGTTCCTGAGCCAGAGAAAGAGCGTTCTCTAGGGTCTGCTTTAACTCGCACATGTCAGGGGCTCTGGTTGCAGGTCTCCCTGGCACCCAGTCCAGGACTACTGGAGGTGAATGGAAAACTCAGACAATCATCATGTTATTAATCCTCCAGTCCTGAGTTCTCCAGCAGTCCATCCTCATCCACCCGACTTTCAGAGTCCTTCCATTGTTACCTGTTGAATCATTTCCAGAGCACTTAGTTGTTTCTAGAATGGAAGATCAGGGAAAGTGAGTCTGTGCATCTCGTTCCAACATGGAAATCTTGAGTCCTTTTTTAATCTACATTTCAAACTATCTCTCATCAGCTCCCACTAAATGCCCAAAACACACATCAATCCAAGGGGCTGTTTGGCCACTCTGGGGGGTGGAACCACGTAGAGGGCTTCGTCTCTGTCAGTTGTTCGACAGAAGTGGTTAGGCCAGGCCTGGTGGGACGGGGTCTCTTCAGATGGACACAGCCTCGCTGAGGACCCCAGGTAGGAGCACTGACGTGATCAAGGGCAGAGACTGGCTGGCACAAGTGGCTCACCCACTGCACCTGTTCATCCCGAGCCCCCTCTGCAGTAGGTGGGCTCTCATGACCAATGACATGATACACAAGTTGCACACACAGTGACTGCTCTGGAGAACCATGCGCATGCCTGTCTGACTCCAGACTCCCCATCTTATTCTCTCCAGATCCCTCCCTGACCAGAGCGCCTTTCATTAATGCCCACAGAATTTTCTCATTCTCCATGTTCCGCTCAAACCTTCCAAATCACTTGCCAAATGGATCTGAACAATATTCCCAAGTGAGGACCATGCCACCTCCAAACTCCGATTCATCCGATACTCGGCTCTGTCTTTGCAGTAGAGGCTGCAAAGTGAATACTTTACCTTCAGCCCTCTTGGGTATGTCCCAGCACACTCCCAGATTTGCAGGATGTCGATGCAAGGTGCCAAGTTGAATTCAAATTTTATATAAACAAAAAATAATGTTTTCACATAAGGATGCCCCAAGAAATATTGAGAACATAAACTAAAAATTGTTCCTATGTATCTGAAATCCAAATTTAACTGTGTTTTATTTCTCTCTCTTTCTCTGTCCCTAAGCACCTGAGGCCTCTAGCCCTGTCACGGGCCCCAGACCCACAAGGCCGGGTTGTTTTGTGCAGGATGACAGTGCCAGCTACACAAAAATTCAACAGCCTCTGGGACACATTGACCATGGTCTCCCAGTGGCCAGTTCTCATAGACCTGGAATCACACCGCTGGCCCGTGGAAACTTACCAGACTCTGTCCCACCCCAGCAAATCAATAAAAGCTCCCGCTCCCTTTGCTCGAGGAGCAGCCTGATTTCCTTTCTTGATCAGTGTTGGCTCACATCAGCTGAAGCCCCCAGCTGGAGACATCACTGTGTGCGCATTTGTAATATTGGCTCCGCCTCATTGCCACCGTCTCCAGATCTGGTATCAACTCCCACCTGCCAGTGAGCTACGGGCCCGAGGAGGTGGTGGGCAGGTGACAGCCAGCCTGACCGGGCTGGTGCTGGACTTGCCATCAAGGAGCCCAGCACTTCCAGGCTCCAGGACAGGCTCTTGGTAGACCAGGGACCTTCTCTCCCTGGGGACCCCATCTATGAGCAGAGAGGAAGCCAAGCCCAAGGGTAACCGTCCCAGGGCCTGGCCTGCCTGGTCATCTCTGAGATGCAGACCCTCGGGCAATGAAATTAAAGAGCACTCCCTGGGGCTGGCCTCCATGGTGAGCTTCCTGCCAGCATGGGGGAGGGAATGACCTGGCTCCCTGTCATACCTGCCCCTAAGTCCCAGCAGAGATTGGCCTGCCTGCCTAAATCCCAGGCTCCAGGCAAATCCAGGGCAGGCAAATCCAGGGTCACTACCTGCCTGCGCTTCCCTGGCCAGCTCAATGCTGACCTGTGGAAGCTGGCTGTGAACATGGTGCCCTTCCCCCACCTGCACTTCTTCATGCCTGGCTTTGCCCCCTTGATCAGCTGGGGCAGCCAGCAGTACCGCGCCTTGATGGTGCCTGAGCTCACCCAACAGATGTTTGACACCAAGAACATGATGGCTGCCTGTGACCCCCGCCACAGTCGCTACCTGACAGTGGCTGTGGTGTTCAGGGGCCGCATGTCCATGAAGGAGGTGGATGAACAGATGCTTAATGTCCAGAACAAGAACAGCAGCTATTTTGTCGAGTGGATCCCCAACAACATGAAGACAGCTATCTGTGACATCCCACCCCGGGGGCTAAAAATGTCTGCCACTTTCATGGCCAACAGCACAGCCATCCAGGAGCTGTTCAAGCGCATCTTGGAACAGTTCACAGCCATGTTCCGGCGCAAGGCCTTCCTGCACTGGTACACAGGCAAGGGCATGGATGAGATGGAGTTCACCCAGGCCGAGAGCAACATGAACGACCTGGTGTCCAAGTACCAGCAGTACCAGGACGCCAGGGCCGAGGAGGAGGGCAAGTTTGAGGTGGAGGCTGAGGAGGAGGTGGCTTAGAGCTGTCTGTTAGCTGGTAAAGCGTGGAAGCGGTGTGAACTCTATTCATCCACAGTCTGCTCTGATAGCCCTGTCTCACTGTGTGCACTGCTGTCCTTGTCTTGACATCACATGCTGTACAGGCACCACCATTAAAGCATTTTCATAGTGAAAAAAAAAAAAAAATCCAGGGCAGGAAGCAAGAAGGGACCCTCTGCTGCCCTCTGGAGTCTGCAAAGGAGAAAGCCATCCCCCAGCAGGGGAACAGGAAGAGAAAACAGAGGGGCAGGCCAGAACCTTAGGGAGCCAGGCAGTAGGGGCAGGAGGCACACTGGGGAGCCCGGGGGCGCTGGGGAGGCAGAAATACAGAGATGCAGAACGTGTTCTCCATCATGTGACATTGCTTTGGAAATCTTTAAACGTATCCAAACACATGGCATCCCTGACAAAACACTTGGACAGAGCTTGCCCCTGGAACATGATACTCAACACTAACAAGGTAAAGGAGGAGAGGTGAATTCGGCCTCTGATAAATCGACAATCACAACGACATTTGCCAGTTTTGATGGCTGGATTTCAGTTTTACCAAAGATTTTCTTGTTTGTCTAAGATGCTAACACATCGGTAGCTTACACGTGGTGAGGAGAGGGGAGTTCTTTGCATCGTACTTGCAACTTTCTGTAATTTTGAGGTTGTTTTGAGAACTTAGAATGTTTTTGAATTTAGAATTTCATCTTAAAATTGCATATATCCTTTGATTCGGCAATTCCAATTTTAGGATTTTATCCTACAGACATATTGGTATAAGTACATACAAACAATAACAGGTACATCTGCACAATGATATTATGTCAGAAATATGTATGTCAAAATTAACAATTACAGTAATATTTATGGCAGAATTATTCAAAACAGCAAATAAAAATTAACTGTCATCACTAGAAGACTGGAAGGTAACTGTGGTCATTCATACAATGGGTAATAATCATGAAAATGGATGGAGCGGGTCTGCACCGACAGTGGCGGGTCTCCTGAACGCTCCACCCGTATTTATTCAGGGCAACCTCTGCTGAGCATCCTGTTACTGCCCCCGTCCTGCAGAGGGCACCACTGAGCTGAGCGGGGTGGAAACAAACCCAGGATCCTGCAGCGGGTGGACAAGCAGGTTTTCCAATTTTCTAACTCCCGCAGTTGGCTGCAGGCTGTGTGCACGCACACACACCACTGACTCGGAAAGAATTAGGGAATGGGGCTGGAAGTAGGCATAGAACCTGACGTTTGGGTCTTATCCTTATGTACCTTACCGTGTAGCTTTATCATGTATCACCATGCATCAGTCTTACACATTTTTTAAACCATCACTTCAAATAAATAAGCACTAAAGTATTACAAACACCTGCCTGTAAAGAACTTACAGTTCCAAGGCCAGCTTTAAGGGACCAGTCAGGTATATGGGAAGGAAATGCAGACCAGGACCGGATGCTGGGCTGCAGTCAGAGTCCCTGTCCTTCCTAGGCCCGGGGCCCCCTTGCCCCGGGACCCTCTTGCCCGGGCTCAGGCTCAGGGCCTCCAGGGGAGCGGCCTGTGGCTCCGCAAAGCTCTTTACCAGTTCGGGCGCGTGGCCGGGCCCCCCTTCTGCCGAACACATTGCAGTTCTGCTCGCCCCAGCTGCTCGTGTCTGCACACACGAAACCGAGCTGGTAACACAGCTCCTGGATGGAGGGCGAGGGAGGAAAAGGCCACCCCTCGGTGTCCAGGGCGCTCAGAAGGACAGCGGACCTGGCACCTGGACGCCGACCCTAACTCAGAAGCCAAGCCGCTGGCTCCAAGCACCACCTGCTTGCCAGCGCCCAGCAGCAGAGGCCACGCACGCGCAGCCCCGGGGCGTCTGGGTCGCGGCCTGGCCTGCAGGACCCCGGGCGCAAAGCCCACTCTGTTCGGTCCGAGGCTCTGGGCGAGGGCTTTGCTGAGCCCGTCTCCGTCCGCGAGGCGCAGGGACTGCGTCGCCCTGCAGAGTGAGAAGGGGCCCTGCGAGGTCCCCGGGCCGGGCGCGCTGGGCAGGCGGTCCCGGGGCGGGAGGAGCCGACGTGGCCACGCCTCGCCAGGCCGCCTCGCCCCCGGGCCGCAAGGTGCGCCGGGCCTTCCCCGCCTGACCGCCGGGCCGAGGAGCGCAGAGCTTCCCGTCCCCGTGCCTCCCGCGGGTCTGCTGCGCCCCAGGCTGACCGGGCCCGGGCGCCCCCCTGCCCACCAGGGTCAGCGCTGGGCAGGGAGCGTGCACAGCCCCGCCGCCCGACGCGCCCGGCCTCCCCTCTGCCCCGTCCCTCCCAGGACCGAAGAAACAGCGCCAAGGACGGCCCTGGGCAAACGCCCAACGTCCCCAGCAGAGAGGCCGGTGAGTGCGCCCCGAAAGGGAGCTGGGACCTGGGGTCTGCCGGGACCTGAGGCCAGGCCCGCAGAGGGGGCGGGGTCCGTGCAGCCCCGCGGGTGTCAGAACGCCCCTGCCACAGCCTCCAGGCCTCCGTGCTGGTGCTGGGGTCCCCAGCTCCCCCAAGGCCCACACCCCAGGCGTCTCCTGGACTCTGAGCAGATGGACCTGGAGCCCTGGAGCCCATTTGGGGCAAAAAGAGTGGTTTTCATCAGAAGCCCTAAGACTGGGGCAGGACCCCACGGCACAAGGCTGTCTGGGGAGACGTTCTCCTGGCCACCCCAATGATCTTGGGGCACAGAGCAGTGGGGATCCTGCACGGGAGGCGTCCCCGCCCTCTCCTGGGCCCCTAAAAGCCCAGGTGTGTTGGCATCGTCCTGTGTTTGCTGCCAGGCCGGGGCCCACTCCCCTGCTCCCCTGCTGTGGAGCCCTGGGGACAGGGGGAGGGTGTGGGCGTCCAGCCTCAGCACCTCATCCGAAAATGGGGACAGTGGCAGGCACCTCACAGGGTCGGCTGAGGACCTGGGACATTCCAGGCACACACAGGCGGAGCCCGAGGGCCTCAGGCAAGTGCACCTGATGCTGGCAGGGCCTGGGGAGGTCATGGCCCGATGCCTCCCCATCTGTGTGGCTGGGACAGCCTTGGTCCTCTGACCACCCAGTGCTTTTCAAAGGCTACTTCTGGAAGCCTTCTGGGGACCCCTTCCCCCCACTGTCAGGGCTCTCTTAATTCTAACTTCCTAGCATCAAGCTGGGCATCGAAAGAGCCATGGCACCAAAACATCATGCCCACTCAGATGGGGAGACAGCCCGAGCAGGGCAGGAGCCTCTCCAAGGTGCCCAGGCTGGCTCCCCAGTGCCCTGGGCTGGGCTTGCTGGAGAGACTGGAACTGAGTTCTAGAGGCAGCGCGGAACTTACATCTATGCATTTGTGAGGTCACCAGAAACCTCCAGAGTGGGGGACACAGAGGGGAGGACAGGGATGGGGGAGCCAGGCTGCAGGACACCCCTCCAGAGCTTCCAGGTAGTTCCAGGATCTTCCAGTTCACCTGTGGGAAAGTGAACAGACCTTCCGGGTGGAAATGTGCTCATTTTGCTGCTGACGAAGGCTGGAGGTGCCATGCCCACCCACAGCCATGGGCGCAGGCTGTGCCCAAGAAATAACCACCCAGGCAGCTCTGGGAGCAGCACTCAGGAGGCAGCCACAAGGGGTTAAAATGGAGAGTGCCAGGTGGCAGCTCTGCCACACCTCTGTCAGCAGGAACGTGGCCACACCACGCGCCCGGCGCCTGAGTGAGCAGGTGCCCTGCCATGGCTCGTGGGCATTTCGGGAGGATCCTGCCTTGCTCCCCAGTTCCTGTTGGCTTGGGTGGGTGACCGCTCGCAATGGCTGTTGCTCCAGGCTCCCAGGCTCCTTGGTTCCAAGCTGGCCCCCCCACCCAAGTCTCTGTCTAGGAAAAAAAAAATGAGATTTCCCTTCCACTTGGCCAAAATAGGAGCTCCGGTCTTCCATGCTGGGCTACCCCACTGACCACACCGGCCCCACGAGCTCCTTCTGCAGGGTCCTCCCCAAGGCCCCTCCCTCTCCATTAGAACCTCACACTGCTGGGGAGGGTGGATGTCTCAAAGATCTGAAGCAGGATTAAATCTGAGCAAGGGAGCACAAACTGAAAGTGCCTTCTGGCTCAGGGGCCTCGTGACTCGACCTTATCTGCCCAGAAGTGGATCAGGGAACAGTGCAGACTGATGGTGCCTGCTCTGACCCAGCACGCACCCAGGGGTGCCCTGCCCTCTGTGCTCCAGCACATCCCCTGTCCTGGCATCCTCCTTGGCTGCCATGGGTAGCAGGGCACCAGGTGCAGGCCCAGATCTTGGGGAACAGCAAAGTGGAGGCGACAGGAGTGCTGATTTGCCACGGCTGTGCATGGCCCAGGAGCTCCCCCTCCCCGTGCTGCTAGTGACCCGTGCTGGGCTGGCTTGTGGCCGGCAGAGGAGGCAGGCAGCAAGTCCCCAGATGCTAAGGACTCGGCTGATGCAGCTTAGATCTGCTTGATTTTAGATTACTTTCTGGAAATCATTTGTAAAAAGCTTAACCTCTGCTCTGCCTCTGCCCACTCGAAGAGGGGGAGGCAGTCACAGCAGGTGAAGAGCCACACTGGTCAGGGTCACCCACTCTCCACTCCCACACAGCCTCCAACGGAGCTGCAGAGACTTTGGGGAGCCTCTCTGTACCCCTGCTCTCTGAATCTCCTGCCCAAAAGGACCTGGCCTGGAGCTGAAGGTCGGCACCAGAGCCCCGCTTTTCAGGTAACTTCCAAGCCATGACTTAGCTGTGCTCAATGTGTGCGTGGTTTTCAGCTCTGAAATCCAGCATCCTTGACTCACTGAAACAAGCCCATGGGCTGGAGTGTAGCTCAGTGCAAGGGCACTTGCAGGTCATACCAAAGGCCCTGAGTTCGATCCCTGGCAGCACAAAACGAACCAACAAACAAAAACCCAGAGCCTAGTGAGCATGTTCCCTCTGCCTGGCTGTGACTGGAAGCTGCAAATGTGCTCTGCCGTGACCAGGCTTCCCCCTCTCCATGTGGGTCCTCTGCACATCTCGGCCATAGCTCTGGGGACCTCACCGCCAGATCCCTCCTCTGGCCCATGCTGGAGGTGGCCCGCACTGTGGGTGTTCAGACCCCTGCCTGCCTGGCAGGCTCCCTGGGCCCCCTTTTCTGGTTCCTGCTTCAGCTGTCTGCTTATGTGGCTGACACACTGAGTCCTTACAAGAAACTAGGATGGGGGCGGGGAGGGGACAGTGTCCTCTGCGTGCAGTGGCAGCATCCTGTGACCTTTCTCCCTGTCTGCTCACTGGCATCTGCCCACCCCTAGAAAGCCAGGCTCTCAGGAAGAGAAACGGGCTTTTCCTCCTGTTTCTGCATCTCTTCCTCACGCCCGGGATTGAAGTTTCTCACACCGCCACGGCCTGGACGCTGCTCCTATGTTGGGAGGAGAGAGAAGGCAGACTCCTCAGCTGAGGGTCACGCTGTTTGCCACTCTGAAAATGGAATTTCCATGAATGCCCTCCTTATGATACTTTTTTCAGAATTGATAAAAATGAATAAACCCCAGTCATCCATCCAATAAGAACTTTCTGTGCCAGTTGTTTAGAAACCAGATGCTGTGTGTTCTAGGGGAACTCCCAGCCTCGTCTGTTCCCTTGGAGAGCTTTCTTGTCCAAAGTCCAGACTCACCTGTAACCCAGGTGTGGTGGCCCACGCCTGTAATCCCAGCACTCAGAAGCTGAGGCAGGAGGATCACCATGAGTTTGAGGCCAGCCTCAGCTACATAGTGAGTTCGAGACCAGCCTGGACTACACAGACCCTTTCTCAAAAAGGAAAGGTGCCAGAGGTTGATTTGCAAAGTGAGAGGTGAATGGTATGGGAGAAACCAGCTCTGCAGGGCAGAACAAGAGAAAAGAAGAAGATAAAAGTGAGAATAAAAGTGCACCTTGCATGTGGGAAACGCAGCGTGGGCCATGGTGGGAGTCAGGTAGGAGGCTCCCCACGGCCTCTGGCCTTCTTTCATCCTGCTTCTGGTGGGAGCCTAAGAGGAGTCCCACCGGCGGGCCTGGGAATTATTTGGCGCTGTTCTGGGAGCTCGGAACTGCCAGGCCCTTCCCACTTCCCTGCTCATTTCAAGGGCTTTGCCACCCCTTTCCCCTACATCACTGGGATCACAGGCTGCACCTCCACACCCAGGTATTTTCCACCCATTTTCAGACAAAAAATGTTTTTGCAATAGTTTGGAGGACAGCCATGGAGCTCTGTGGGAATTTTCACTTCAATTAATATCTGCCTAGACAACGTCACTTTTCATAATTGACCTCTTGTGTGGCCAAATCAAAGTACACATCCGGCCTGGAGCAAGCTGTGCTCACATTTCTACCAGGAACACTTCCTCCTGCTCAGAACTCAGAAGCAAGAATGGGCCTTCCAGGTAGTGTAGAGGCTCCCTCAGAGAGCGCTCTGACAGGACTCTGTCCCGAGCACACAGGAAGTGCTTTCAGTCCCCAGGAAGACTCACTAAGCTCACTTATTACGGGCCAAAGCCGGCCTTCAGGTCCTTGTCCTCCAAACACAGTGGGCCCCGGAACCCACTGTGGCTGGGTGCCATGGCAGCATCCTCACTGAAAGTGTCAGGGACAGGGCCTTCGTCAGGACCGAGCACACCTTGGTGCTCCTGTGGCAAAGCACAACCTGGGACGGGGAAGGAACCGTGTCCCTCAGTGGAAAAGTCACTGTCCTCCATCTCGAAGGGGAAGGACAGGGGCTGAGCCTGTGTGGCCCCAGGTGGGAAGCCTCCCTTTTAGTGTGGGAATTCTCCATTGAGACGCCTTTAAACTCACCGAACTGCACAGGAGTTGTGCGCTGACACTGGTGTCCCAACAAGCACGTGTCCGCCTAGGAAACCTCGTGGGACCCGTGGCTTTCTGCTCGGCCTCTTACCTTGCGACATAGTAGGCGTGTGACCTCCTGCCCCTGTGACCTTGCAGGTGTGACCTGGGCAGCAGTCATGGAGAACAAACTGGACCTCTCCAAGCTCACAGACGAGGAGGCCCAGCACGTGTGGCAGGTGGTGCAGCGGGACTTCGCCCTCCGGACGCGGGAAGAGGAGAGGCTGGCGTGAGTCTGCGTGCGGCAGCCAGGGCGCCCCCGGGTGGGCAGAGGCTGGGTGTGGCTGAGGGGCATGGACGGGGGGTATGACCTGGAGAAGGGCTCTGCTTCTGGGCCTTCGTGTCCTCGCCATTAAAACGAGGGCCTCTGCCCATCCAGCTGGGCTTCAGTCCTCCCGAGGCCTTCCCTCACTTGGCTCAGCTTCCGGGGCACCCACCCAGACTGAGTGGTACCTGGCCCCTGCCCCCTTGAGGGGCTCCTGTCCTCCCAGCGTGACCACACGTGGGTGCCACCGCCCCTCAGCATCTTCTCCTGCCTCAGCCTCCTTCTGCCTCCCCCAACCTGGTGACTGTCACCCACCGAACCCTGTGAGCATCCCCTCTGAGCAGTGTGCGTGGGTTGGGTCAGCCCGTTGAGAGGAGGCTGTGGGAGGTGAGGAAAGTAGCCAAGCCCAAGCCTCCAAGAATGTGCCAAGCAAGTGCAAGGCCCTGAGTTCAATTCCCGGTACCAAAACAAGAAAAAAGAATGTGCCCAGCAGAAGGGCCACCAGGGCTGACGGAGAATGTCCAGGGTTAGGAGCAGAGCGATCCAGGGGCCAGGGGCAGAGGTGACGGTCAGAGAAGAAGGGGTGGGGGAGCTGGCCTCCCCCTGGGCCTCAGGGCAGGCAGCGGACTCTGGAGACGTGGTTGGACATGCTTGGAAGAAAGAGCAGAAAAGTTTGCCCATGGCCTGATGCAGGCTCTCAAGGGTGGGAGGAGCCAAGAGCAACCCCAAGGTCGTGGCCTGAGTACCACAAGGACGGCACTGAGGGCAGCCCTGTGGTCAGGAGTGGCCTTCTTAGTCACCCAGAGCCCTGTCGGCTCACATCGGGCCCACGTCCACACCAAGCATGTTGCACTGGGACCCGCGGGTGCTCAAAATACACGGTGAATGTTTGCGTTTTTTAAAATGTGTTACAGTAAGACACATTGCCACTAATCCCCCTCAGACTCTTCTCTCTCACTTCAAACACACTCATCCCATCATTCCTGCCGCTTTCTGAAGCAGTTCTGGGAGTCGTCTCTCGTGCCTTTATGAGGTGTGACCAGAAATACAGTGAATGCTGCTGCCGAGCAGAAAGGTAGCTCACAAAAACATGGCGCTGTGTCCTCGTCCACCTTAGTCACTGGCCCTGGCACCGAGTGACTTCTGGCTCCTCCCCAGGGTCATAAAGACCACACTGGGGACATGGACACAGCCATGGCAGCACAACGAAAGACACTCGTGGGACAGGACTTGCAGAGCTGCTGCAGAAAGAGGCAAGGATGGGATAAGGAATTCTTTGAGCGGGATTAATGGCAAAGCATCTTTTACTGTAATGAACCTTTTAAATTAAACATTGGCTGTATTTTTCCATCGCACCTTGTAAATGTGAGGAGAGGCAGTGTGCGGAGAGGAAGCTGAGGTCAAGAACACGGGAGCCAGGTGTCAGCACAGAGCGGGCCTCACTGGGCGGACGCAGCCCGGAACACAAGAGGACGCTGCAGAGCCCCTCATGGTGGGGTCGCAGGGGAGCTCCTGTGTTGCTCCTTGTTTCGTGTCTCGTCCGCTGTCCTGTTGCGGGTGTCGCTGAAGGTAGAGCTGCCTCTACCCTGGCTGCCTGTTTCTGAGGGCCTCCTGGCCCCGGAGCGCAGCCCTGGGGGTGTGGCCGCAGTCACAAGGCCGAGGCCGGCGGCAGGTGGGAGGCCAGCACAGGTGGGTCCAGTGCTGCTGGCGCAGGTGGGCAGGGCTGGCACTTGGAAAGAGCGGGACTGAAACCAGCGGAGAATAAAGACCTTTTGCGTTTCTGGAGCCTCACATTGGCACTGCGGGGCCAGCTGGCTCACAGGCCAGGCGCCCAGTCTGAACTGGGATGAGCTGTCAGACAATGAATCCCCTCTCCCTCATCTCTTATCAGTGTCACGCTGCGTGTTTAGCCAGTGTCAACACAAAGGTCACCGCGTGTGGCTGCCACCACCCCACTCTCAGGCCCATCTCTGTTTCTCCTGGGCTCCTCTCCCAGGTCCTCATTCCTGATTCCTGATCCCTGAAGCAGCTGAGGCTGGGTGAGGCCCTCAGTTCCTTCATGGACCCCACTCGAATAGCTGTAGCAAATTCAGCAGTTCAGGAAGTGCCCGGCTTGTTTGTGATGGCTTTGACACATTCCCAAAAGGACACCCACTGGGTGGCCTGGCTTGCAGAGCCCACCGAGGCTGTGGACAGAAGAAAGTGCGTGCGGGGAGCATTGTAAAGCCAGGTTTGCTAAGAAACAAGCCACTCGTCACCTGGAGAAAACGCCCCTATTGGCAATGCTGGCGGGTTTCTGCCGTCCGTTCAGCCCTAGGTCAACCCGAATCTCCCCCTGGAGTCCCTCATTCCTGTCACTGGGGAGATAAAAATGTTGTTATTGCTAATGTCATCAAACACAAAGTCGTGCCAAAGTAATCCTTGGAGGGGACACATGGGAGCAGCCCCAGCCTGCGAGCCCTGCCCTCCTCAGAAGAGCCTGGAACCATGGAGCCTTAGCCCGGATGCCGAGAGCCTGCATGGTCACTTGGGTGAGGCTTGCTTGGTGTCCAGCTTGCTCGGTGTCATGCTTATCTCAAGTCCTGTCAGCAGCTACTTCCTGCACGGTGGGGCAGCGCTAGGTTGTGGCTGTGGCAGAAATGATTGCACCCTAAGCCCAGGAGGAAGGAGCAGACGGTCATCGCAGGGCGTGGGTGAGTCATGCCTCGGGCTCCACAGGGCACAGCCCGTAAGCCAAATATCAGGCTGCTAACCTTCCCAGAAAGGCAAATAGGTGGTGGCATGGAGTCTGATCTCTGCAAACAGCCGGGAATTCCCGAGACGATCAGTGAAAGATCTCTCAGTGACAGACATGGGCGGCCGAGGCTCAGGGGAGAATGGCAAGAAGAGGAACTTGGAAGCCCCTCAGCTGGGCCACTTGGCACACACACGGGCAACTCCAGGCTGAAGAAACAAGGTGAAAACAGGAAATCGGCTCCTGCTCAGGGCCTGAAGGTTGACTGTTGTCCAAGATCCTGACAGGGGTCTCTGGAGCCCTCGCCTCTGGGCCCTGTCACTCGGGCGTCACCACCTTCTTCCTCCACGTCATTTCCGTCACCGCATTGGCCATTCCCCCAGGAGGACCTCCAGGCGCAGCAGCACATTCCTCTCCCTCATCATCATTCCTGAGACAGATCCATGTCACCAGGACTGGGATCATGGACTTGCTCCTTGTCACTGTGAATCCCTTCCCCTCCTTCCCCAGTTGTCCCCTGGGAAACCCTGGTTTCCTCGGTTGCCATGATGTCTGTCATCTAGGTCCTCCTTGGACTCTCTCTTCAGTCATCAGGAGCACATCCTGCAGCTGCTTTCTCAGGAGTGTCTTGGGGTGTACATTTGGTATCTGAGAACGTGCCACTTGGCTGTGGGTAAAACCCCAGCTCCCACGCTCCCTGCAGGATCCCAGGAACGTTGCTCCCCAGGGTGGACAGCACGATGCCATGCCACCACCCCTGAGACACATGACCGTGCCCCAGTGCCAAGAGTCTGGCAACGTTTTAGGCTCTGGCAAAGGAGAATGAAGGTTGCGGGTAGCATCGGGGCTGCTGGTAAGCTGAGCTGGACCTGGGGAATTGCCCTGAATCTTCTGCGTGGGCCCAGTGCATGGCAGGAGCCTTATAAATGGGAGGCAGAGGGAAGCAGGATAGAAAGAGGTCAGACTGAGCCCTGCCAGAAGACAGCACCTGGCCAGCTTTGGGGATAGAGGTCCCTTCGGAGACTGGGACAGGCCCGGGACTGGCTCTCCCCAGCCCGCCACACCTTCATTTCAGCTCCAAAGCCCCTGGCTCAGACACGGGCATCCAGCCCTGCAGTCTGGTCCCCAGAACTGTAAGATGCAGCACCTCCGCCAAGTCATGGTTCAGAGTTCAAGGCCTCAGTCATTCGAGAATTTTTCCTTAGAACCTAGTAATTGAGGAAACCCCTGACACTTGGGGGAAACCGCAAAGATCCTCCGCAATTGTTTTTTTGGCGGAAGGTTAGCAAGTAGCCAATCCGAGAGCACTATTCAGTTCTCCTTGCTGCTGATTGGCTGCTGCCCGGTGCCATCTCCATGTAACCGGCTGCATGCTCTGGGTTTTGTTCTCTTAAAGCCTCAAGGTCCCTAAGGTGCCGCCAAAACGCCCTGCACCTTCTCAGGCTTTATTAATACAGAATTTATTACATTAAATCACCTAACTGCAGGAGACATTACATATTTAGGGCTTAAACGATAAAAATAGGCATTGATAGGCATTTTTGTGACCCTATCTGAAACTTGCAGTTTTTGACAGTTCTTGGGTGCTCTCGGAATGTGAACCCCCCCCCCCAAATTTCAGGGATCCATTGTCGTTGTTTTGGGCCCAGAATGTGTGAAGTCTTGTCTGGCGGTGCAGGATGCGAATCCACTGCTCATCACTTCTGGCTTGGCCTTCTGCAGAGGGGGCGACTGCTCCTCACCACAGCAGCCGGTTCTGCCCACCCAGCGTCCAGCAACACCTTCATGTGGGGGCTCCCACTCTCTGTGGCTGCTGTTCTCAGGCTGGGAGCATCTTCATGCCTCCCTGGCATGATCCCTGCTTGTGTGGCACAGCCGGAAACTCACGTCCCACCCAGCTGTGCCAGACGTGCAGGCCTCTTGCTTCCTGCCTGACTCGGGTCTCCCATCACAGCTCCCGACGTGGTGTCCCACGGTGACCCAAGATCACTTACTCCATGCCCCTGGGGCCCCACTGCCCAGGACCTACTTACCCCTGGGGGTTCGCTCTCCTCTCTGTTGCCACCACTGCGTTCCTTTCTCTGCACCCTGAAGGGAAAAGCAAACTGAATTCAAAACCAGCAGTTCTCAAGCCATTAAGCCTCAGGTTCCCTTTCCATTGTTAAATTACCAAGAACCCCCAACAGTGTCATGTATGTGCATTACATCTATCAATATGCACCACATTAGAACTTAAAATGAGGAGTTTTATCTATTCATTCACTTAAAAATAACAGCAGTAAGCCACTTCCATATTAACAGAAACATCATTTTTATGAAAAATAACTATTTTTCTGAAACAAAAGCATGACTGAGAAGAGTGGCTTTGATCTACATTTTCAAGACCCCCTTCAACATCTGGCATAGCAGGACACAGAAGAATTCCAGCTTGCTCTGCATGCGGTGTGCTTATGAACAAAGCGTTTGAAGAAAATCTAGCCTAATACACATCTGTGGCTGGGCAATGGAGGAGTAGAGCCTTTTTCCAGATGATTATGGACACTATGTTTCATTACTACTTGAAAACCCAGCACTTGGAAGTTTCCTCAAGGTTAGTTGTGATGTGGACTCAAATATCGCAGACCTTTGCCTGCTGTTACTTTGACTCACTGGCCTGTCTTGCACTTGGAGTGAATCTCCTACCCGTGTGTGATTTTTGTGACACTGCACACTGTCATTTAACAAACACTGTCTCTCTGAGTAATGCAGGTCCCCGAATTAACGTACCTTATTATGCATGACAAAGGGAAACCACAGAACTCACTCCAGGTTGGAAACTGTCAAGCTCAGAGACAAAGACATGAGTTTTCCAACACGCTACTTTGTGATTGAAACTTTTGGTTTTGTCAGTGGCAATAAATGCTCTGGTTCTTTTCCTCGAAGTGGCAGGCTCATTTTGATCATTTTGGAGAAAGTAAGTAACTGCCACACAGCCCAGTCAGAATAGTTTAACTCTCAGTTCTTCACCCAAGTGAAAATGGTATTTTGTAATAAAAGTTCCTAGTTCAAGTCAGCATGCAGACAACTAACTGACCAGTTCTCACATCAAAACCTCCACATTTGTATTTCAATATTCAGTAGAGAGGCTGTATGTCCTCTTTCTGCAGAATACTAAAAAGGTATGCACTCAGGGGTCAAGATTCAAAAGGAGTGAGAACTTTTACTGCTTCATCAACGCTGAATTTAGGTGAAACGCTGTTTTTCTTTTCTTTTGTGGGGCAAAGTACAATGGCTGCTAGTCCGGTTGGTACCACTGCCTTGAGCTGTGAAAAAACCTTAGCAGCTTTGATTACCATTGCTTGTGCATCTTTGGTGCAGGCATCTAAGACAAAAAAAGAAAAGTAAATGATGTCTTAATGCTATTGACATAGCTTTGGCCCTATAAATCTTCCTAAAGGAACTTAGGAGCCTCCAGAGCCCGCAGACCACATGCTGAGAACCACTGTTCTGAACCACTGGATTTAATATTCCCAGTAGGAACTCTGCTCGTGCTGCCCTCCACTGTCACCTAGCGCTCCTTGCCATCTTTATTCAGCCAGCACTCCGCGCTCCATCTGCACAGCCTGTGGTCTTTCTGTCTCAGCCTGGCTGCTTCCTTCCCCTCCCTCCTCAAGACCCCGCCTTCTCACACCCCATTAAGCACAGTAGGCCACTTGCTTCAGGACTCCTGTTTCTGATGGTGAATCCCATTCTGGAAATCTCTTCCTGGAGGAGACCCTGACTTGTCGCTTTTTCCTGCTGATGCTTGTAAGGTCGGGACGTCTGGTTGACCTGGTGTGTGGGGTAAGAGCAGCCCGTGAGTGGCTCTGTCCCACCCTCTGCAGCCCCAGCTTCGGGTATGTGTCCAGCAGCCAGCAAGAGTTCCCTGGCCTCCAACAAGGGTCTTCTCTGCTTCCCTTCCAGCTCTCTAGCTATGAAGAAGGAACTTACGTTTTGTTTTGTTTGCGGGGGGATTGTTTTTGGTTTTGGTTTTGTTGAAGCAGGGTCTCACTATGTAGTTCAGCCTAGTCTTGAACTCACAATGTAGCCCAGACTGACCTCAAATTCATGGCAATCCTCCTGCCTCAGCCTCCCAAGTGCTGGGATTACAGGTGTGTGCCTCCATGCCCAGCCAGGAAGTTACATTTTAAAAAACCGGAAGGACAGTACAGATTCAGCACCCAAAATACAGTGGCTGCCCAGCTCCTCAGGGCCCCTCTGGAGCCCTCCTCTTACTAAGGAGAAGTTAATAGCTGGGCACAGCGCACCTCAAATGTCTCTTCTTCCTTCCTGCCTGGTCCCCCACCTCATTCCCCTGCTTTAGTTCTGTCTGGGTAGACAAGGAGGGGGAGCTGATGGGGAGAAGGCTGGATAAGCCCTCCCGGCCTAGGATGACCTCCAGGTTCCCCGGCAGATGCAGATGTGGCAAGGGTAGGAATACCCTTCCGTCACCGCTCCAGGGGCCTCATGGCTCTCTCTGAGGCAAAGACTGCCCGACTGACACAGCTTTGTCTACTCCAAGCAGAGGTGACAATGGTCCTTCTAGATTCCTGCAGCCATTTGCCCATCTCTTCTTAGTTTCACAGCTGTCACAAGAGTCCTATTCTGAGTCTTCGTGAGGATAGTCCTCCCTCATCCTGAGAAGATGTCCGAGACCCCGTGAGTGCCAGACACTGCGGGTCGTGCTGAACTTGTATAAGGGCTGCTTTCCTCACAGGCACACACAGTGATAAAGCTTAATTTAAACTAGGCATGATGACAGGCGAACTGCATAATGGATAATAAAACAGGATAATTATAAAAATACATTGTATTAAAATTTCTGTGTGGACCGGGGATTTAGCTCAGTGGTTGCTCTGCCTGACTCACAAGCGAAGGGTCCTAAGTTCGATCGCTGGTACCAAAAAAAAACTTCTTTGAATAGAGTGTCTGTATCCCCCTTTCTCTCTTTCAAAATACATTCCCATCCTGTGCTTTGCACTGTCCCTCGAGTGGGTGAGGGAATGAATAATGGGAGGGAGGAATTGGTGACATGCACCGCATCACTGTGAACTAGTGGCAGCCTCCTGACCCCTCTCCCCTGGCCACCCTCTGAGGCGTCCCCTGAACACTGAGAACCTCAGAGCTCTCAGAAGACAGTGGCACCTGTGTCTCATCCTTTATTGTCATGATAAATGGATTAATTTTATCTCATCTAAAACTAAAAATATTATGCTTGGCAGTCATTCTTCGACATTCAGAACAGAAAGGCGCGTTCACCACTCTCCGGGCTGTGTTGCCCTTGGCAGAGCCACCAGGAAGCTGTGTTTGAAACTCCGCGGTCTCCAGCTATGGCCTGCAGGACTTCTGGGTGCTGGGTTACTCTTGCCCTGGAGCTTCGCCACGCTCCGAAGGACAAGCCTGAGGCCTACTGGGGCCTCCCCCATGGTGGGAGAGACCCCAAACAGCACCTGCCTTTGCCTCAGGACTCGAGCCCTGTGAGGGAGGGCACAGCACCTGGCATCCAAACCACTGGGCTGGTTGTAGAAGTCACAGAGATGCGTAAATGCAGTCATGTCTATGAAAATCATGTTTCTGTTCCTATCAAATCGCACCTGATGGGGCCCCACCAATCAGGTCTTCCCATAGGGCGAGGTGAGGGTGTGCAGTCAGCACTGTGGGATGCCATGGCCGCTTCCGCAGACTTGGGCTCATCTTCTACACACAAGAGAATTAGCGGGTATGTGTGTGTGCAAAAATAAGACTTCCAGTCTATTTCCCATTTCTGTACCTCCACAGCCAGCTGAAGGGTAAGATTAAGAAGGAAAGCTCCAAGCGGGAGCTGCTCTCTGACACGGCCCACCTGAATGAGACCCACTGTGCCCGCTGCCTGCAGCCCTTCCGGCTCCTGGTGAACAGCAAGAGGCAGTGCCTGGACTGCGGCCTCTTCACCTGCAAATGCTGCAGCCACGCCCACCCGGAGGCACAGGGCTGGCTGTGCGACCCCTGCCACCTGGCCAGGTGAGCCACAGCCCAAAGTCAAGCCAGCCTGCAGGGCCCGGAGCCCGGCGTACCCCTTTCATGGGGCTCGCTGCAGAAGGGGCCCGTGGGGTGCATGGCGCTTGCACACACCTGTGCAGCACACGGCCGCGCCACAGTCTGGGCCCATATCCCTCCCGCAGGGTGGTGAAGATCGGCTCTCTGGAGTGGTACCACCAGCACGTGAGAGCCCGCTTCAGGCGCTTCGGGAGCGCCAAGGTGGTGCGGTCGCTGTGTAGACGGCTGCAGGGCAGAGGTGAGGAGAGGGCCCGGCGTGCACTTTCATTCCTGGGCTGTGGTAACATTGCCCGAGAAAGCAGCTTGCTTTGGGGAGAGAGTCAGACAGACAGACAGACACATGGACCAAATTGCTTTCTGGGAGAAGGGCAAAGCTTGGTATCCTGCCACCTGCTTCCACCTCCTGGGAAGTCCTGCATGCTGTGAACATCCCCACCATGTAAAACTGTGTTTTTCCAGAGCTTTATAGCAAATGGAGAACACACAGCCAGGTTCCTCAACTCTGGAAGGTCCTGCATGTATGTTAATATTACACTTTCCCGGGCCGGGGATTTAGCTCAGTGGTTTCGCTGCCTGCTGCGCAAGCACAAGGACATGAATTCGATCTCCAACACCAAAAGAAAAAAGTACAAATGTTACACTTTCCCTAGGCCCAGCTTCCCTGGCCGTCTGGTTTGGGGCCCACACATCCCACATGTTCTTAGAGAAATCTATCGGAATTCAGTCGTTTGCTGTAGTGTTTCGAATGCAAGTCTTTATTTCACCATGCACTTGAGCTACATGGCATGTTCTCACCGCCTCCTTTAACATATTTGGAGAGGAAACCACAGGGGGAGGGCTAGGGGTGTAGGGTTTGAACCTGAGGGGGAATTGAACAGTTCAGGGGCACCTGAGTCCTAGGCCTCTCCCTCCTTGACCCTGCCAAGCATTCATTCAGGCCGGGCAGCCCGCCAGGCCTGGCGTGTGGGTCCCAGCTTCCTGGATCTCATCTGCAGGCCCACAGTCCCAGGGTGCCCAGGGCACAGCTTCCAGGCTGGGGCGTCCTCAGTGCCCCACCCGGGTCTCCTCAGCGCTCCCTTTGGCCTGGTACCTTACTCGAGCCTGTCCCTAAAGCCCAGTGGGCAGGAGGAGCAGGAGTTGGCCACTGCTGGCCCTCAGGGCATCGGAGCCCAGTCCAGGCTGGCGCAGGTGTGGCCAAGGCAGAGACGACAGGAGGACAGAGGCCCTGCCTGTGACTGCTCTTAGCGCCTGTGGCCGCAGGGGTGGGGCCGGATTGGGGGCTGAGATCAACCCTCCAGACGGGGAGGTTGTTACCACACTGCACGGCGGAAGCTCTCCCCCGTCTTGATGCTGCTGCTCAAGCTGGTGCCGCTCCGCCCCGCTGAGCCGGGCCCGCACGGGGGAATACAGCCCCACAGAGACCCGAGGACCTGGCCTTACCCTGGGCGAGGCTGACTGCCGGGGTACCGGGCTCAGGAAGCTGGATGCACGAGGTCGCCGCCAACCTGCGGGTTTCAGAAATGTCACCGCTGAGCGCCAGCAGGTGGCGCTGCTGGGCAACAGAAAACAAAACAGGACCTCGCTGTCCTCCAGCCGCGTTCCCAGCAGCCCCTTGCGCCCCGGAAGTGGGTCTGGGACCACCGCGCACACCCCCTGCCCCCCCTGGGCTGTAAGGCCCTGGGCTGCGTTCTCCCTGGCTGGGCCCTGGACAAATCAGCCCAGGGTGCAAGGATAGAGGAAGGGAAACTGGGAAAATAACGCCTGAAAAAAAACAGGGTTCAACGTTTAGTGCTGGGCGGTGCACACCTGTAATCCCAGCACTCAGGGAGGCTGAGGCAGGAGGATTTTAAATTCAAGCCCCGCATAGGCAACTTAGCGAGCTACATTAAAAAAATTTTTTAAGGTTGGGGAAGGGGCTCAGCACAAAGGCCCTGGCTTCAGTGCCTAGTTCAAGAAAAAAGTATTAATTTTTTTTAAAGATTAGAATCCACATTTTGAAACCTGACTGTACCCGGTGGGCAGCTGCTGGGGCCTTCCGACCTCAGGGTGGGCTGTGCTTCTTGGGCCTGGATTAGCAGGGCACCGAGGCCGTCTGCTGCAGTGGCTCCTGCTGGGCTCTCCTCCATCTCAAGTGAGGCCCTGAAACCTGTGTGGTGGCAGGAATGTGGAAAATCCTTTGGACTCTTGTAGCATGACTTGTCAGGTGGATGCATGGTAAGCATGGCCTGAACCCCGTCCCAGGGTGGGGAGAACTCAGAAGCTGCCCTCCCTCCCACAGCAGAGCCTGTCTAGGGGTCTCCCCATGGTGGGCTGGCCTGAGCTTCTGTTGGTCTGCACCCTGGCAGTCATCAGGCACCCGCTGGGTCCTAGGACCACGCCGGCCAGGCCAACCCTGGCAGCCGGGCCCCTGGAGCCTAAGACTCTAGCAAAAGCCCAGCCAGGCCTCATGCCGTCTGTCCTCCCGCACCAGCCCCATGGAGCCACAGCCACTCAGGGCCACAGAGGCAGAGCAAGCGACAGCACTTCGGGCCGAGCCACAGCACCAGGCAGGTTGGAGCGGAGCACAGCGACTGTGAGAGTTCTCACAGAGCTGCAGCTGTTCCACGGGTCGTGTTTCCCTCTCTCTCTGTAGTGAATAGAAAACCAGGCCAGGGGGCTGATTTCCCTCCTGAGGTCACCTAGGGCTGGGCAGCAGCCTGGGGCCCTGAACCCCAGGCTTTTCTTGGTGTGAGGAGGATCGGGGTGTGCAGCACCTGGGGTTGGATGACGGGGCCCGTGGGGTCATCAATGGCCCAGCACTGTCCCTGAACACCTGGGGAGGAGGGTATGGGTGAGGCAGCCCTGCTGTCCCCACAGGGACATCAGTGTGGACACCTGTGCCCATGGGACTGAAAGCCACCGGGAGGAGCTTCCTGCAGAAGCCCCAGGGCTGGGAGAGCAGGCGGGGAGCGTGGGAAGCGGGGCCGCACTCGATCCATCTCCTGTCAGGAACCGGCTGTCGTGGGGTTACTGAGGCAGCAGAGATGGGAACTATAGGAAGCAGCCGTGCCCACCCCAGGACTGGGGGCCACAGGCAGAGACCGTGACTGAGAGGAACAGAGTCTGGAGGAGGCCACCCAGGGTCGGGACCCGGCAGCCATGGGTCAGATGCCGGGGGCCGGGACAGGAAGTCAGGGTGCCAGCCCTGGGCGGGGCAGCTTCTCCTCCCTTTCTCCGCTCGAACCTGGTGCAGCAGCAGCAGCGAGCCAGGTGGGGTATGTGCCGGACTGGTCCTGCCGGCAGTGTGGGGCATCTGTGTCAGCCGCACAGCTGGGACCCCATATGCTGTCCCGTGTCCCTCTGCACCTGAGCCCTGCAGGGCACCAAACTGCAGCTGTTCTGGGGCAGACAACAGGACGTGGGCATCTGTGGGCAGCAAAACCTGGCAGGGGCCCAAGGCCCTGTGTACTGTGAGTCTGTTGTGCCCAGATTTCGAGGTCCCCAAAGACCACCAAGGAGCCAATTCCGATGTAAACACATTGGGGTCATTTATTCAAGCTCGAGCAGGGACTCCCGACCGTCACCGCCGCAGCGGGTCAAGATTGAGAGCCTCGACTCCAAGTCAGCAGGGGTTTTTATAGTAGTTACAGCAAGGTTCTAGATTGGCAATTAAACCTGATTGGTTGTGCCTTGCACAGCCAAGCTGCCAACGGTTACACCTGGGACACTGGGGTAGCTGTTGCCAGGGGACGGCTGAACACTTATCACAAGCAGGTGGGCGAAGTACATCTTGTGGTTTTAGGTCTTACAAGTCCAGTTGCTCCCTCCACAGCCCAGAGACCAGCAGGCATGTGAGCCCCAGCCAGTCAGCTCTCAAACCCCAAGACATACTGGGGGTCACTTTCTGCAGGGAGCTAAACGGAGCACAGGCAGTGTGGACAGGAGAGAGGAGCTCAGGGACCTCCTGGGGAGCCTGGGTGCCGAGGGTGGGGGTCAGCACCCGAGCAGAGGAGGGACGGGTGCCAGGGCTGAGCTCCTGGCCCTGCTAGCTGGGGCCTGCTATGGGCAGGTGACACACACTGTCAGGAAGGAGTCTGCTTGAAAAAGCCCGATGTGGCTCCCGGCCCCATTCCCCACACGGCCAGCATCTTCAGGCAGACCAGGAAGTGGCCAGTGAATGTGGCTGACGCCTTCAGACATGGCCAGAGCTGTTGGCAGAGTTGATGCAGTCCTAGTCTTGTCCTCTGATGCTGGCCAGCTCCAACTGGTCTTAGCCAGCACAGGTCTTAGTGAGCACAGGTCTTAGGCCAGCAGAGGGCCTTGCCTGGACCTTCCCCAGCAGATGTGCAGATTGATGAGGTGGGATGGGTGGATGGATAAGTGTATCACCAGATGGAGTCCTAAGAGGTTCCCCGCAAAGAGGAGATGGGGACTCACCTTGCTCGTGGAGTAGGTTTGTTGACTCTCATCACAGAAAAGCATTTCAGGATGGATCGGTGAGCGGCGTGGGCAGGTTTATTAGGCAGAGTTGGAAAGTAAGGGCTTCACCTGGAGAGCTAAAGGGGCACCGCTCTGATGGGGTGGCCAGACTGTCGCGTTCACTAGCTGCTGTGGGCTAGGGTCATGATGCTGACATGACCTCAGTTCTGGTCTGCAGGATGGCTCTGGAAGAACTTCTTGTCACCCGAGGAGGCAATTCGGTCTCCAGGACCTGATTGTTTCGGCCTGGGGCCATCTCAGTCTGGGGGAGGCTCTGCTAGAATCCAGGGTGGCCCTAGGTTTGGGGCAGTGACTCGCAACTTCTGGGCACTCACTGTAGTTGAACATTCCTACATATCTCTTATCTTGGTGTCCTTATTTTTGAAGGGGGGTGAGATGGTTTTATAAATCCAGGTCTGATGACATTGGGCAGACCCCTGAATGATTAGCACCCCTGCCTGCAGCACCAGCAAGGGTCTGACCCAGAGCCTCCATTGTATAATGCAGATGGATACAAGTGAGGGGCAAGCTTTGTCCTGCTTGTAGCTAACTGATGGCCTCTGTAGGCTCAAGTGAAGGCTTGATAATTTTTTTTTGGTACTGGGTATCGAACTCAGGACCTTGTGCTTGTGAGGCAGGCGGCAGCACCACTGAGCTAAATCCCCGGCCCTGGGTCACTAATTTTTAGCATAAACCACTCTTAAGTCCTGGAGGCCTCAGCAGAAAACACAAATCATGATTTTAACGAGTAACAGGTTAAGGGTCCGAGAGTTAGTCTGTCCTCTGTCCCTGTGATGACCTCTGACTGGGGGCGGGGCGGGGGGGACAGACAGACAAACGGATGGATCAGTGCATGAGTGTGTCGACAGGAGGAGGAAGGGACAAAGGCGGTGGGCGGGTGGGCAGGTGAGCACTGGGTGGATGGGTGGTGGGTGGGTGGATAGCAGAGAGGTGAAGAGAGGGAAGAGCCTGCTGGAGGAAGGGATGGGCAGTGGGCTGGGTGGATGGCAGGACAGAGCGATGCCCCCCACCCCGCCTCCCACCTCCCTGTCTCCTTGGTGGAGCTAAGCAGCGTCTGTCCTGTTGCAGGTGCTCCTGAGCTCAGCTCTGGAGAGAAGAGTGGAGACAGCGAGCCGACAGATGAGGATGGAGAGCTGGACACAGGGGTCCAGGCCCTACCCCTTGGCAGCAAAGTAAGCCCTGCCCTGGTGCCCCATGCCTCCCCTCCCCCTTCCCCAGGCATCTACTCTCCCCTGGGGGCTTCACCCGCCCCCAGCACCTCTGTGTCTCCCCCGCCCCTACAGGAAGCCAGGCTCCCATCTCCTGTAAGCCTCAGTGCTCTCTGTGGCTCCCCGCCCCCTCTCATGCCGGCCAGTCCCATGTAGGGCAGAGCCCTGAGCCCCAAGCAGGACTCCCATGGTCACCCAGGAGCCCCAGTCAGGCTGGGGGCTGGGCAGAGCCTGCTGGATGGCGTGGCCCACCTGGCTGGAGTCCCAGGCAGGGGTTGCCTAGGCATGGATGCCTGGGGCAGGCCAGGAGCTGCATGGCGCTGGGTCCACCACGGGGCAGAGCTGTGAGCTGAGGGCTCCTTGGGGAGGTTTCTGGCTGTGTCGCTCACCCACCGTGAACCTCATCTCTGTCTGTGTCGGTATCTGTTTTCTCGCCTTGGGTGGCAGAGAGCCAGGCAGCTTTGGACCCAGACCTCTGAGGGTGACAGACCTAGGAGACTCAGGTCTGCACAGCTGCGAGATGAGGACAGAGTCTTCTCTTCCACGAGAAAACTTGACCCAGGCCTGTGCCAGGCTCCCAGAATGCCACCCTGTGCCTGGAATAGTCCCTGTCTGGAATGAGTTTAGAGGACTGAAACACAGCAGTCGTAATGAGGAGGATTTAGAAGTCAACAAGCTCACCCAAGAGCCTGCCACACTGGGCAGCTAGCTGGCCCCTGACCCTGGAGCCAGCAAGCCCCATTAACCCAAAGTCCGGGGCCCCTCTGCCCCTGCCCCGGACCCCAGGCAGTGACCTGGGGCTCAGGACTTCTCTGGGGACAAAACTCTGATGGAGGAGGGCAGGAGGCAGCCCGAGCCCCCACCACCTCGGGGTTCACTAGGAGGTGGAGATGCCTGCAGAGGAGGCCACACCCACCGGGGGCAGGGGTCCTGGCCACCCCTGTCCCACTGACCCTGACTCCATGCTCCCTCATTTTTCCCGGCAAAGAAGAGACGCCTTCTCTCCTTCCACGATGCAGACTTCGAGGAGGACTCGGACAACTCCATGGAGGCCTGCAGTCACCCCCTGTGCCTGTCCTCGGTGTTGGGGGCCACGAACAGCCTGCAGGTGGGTGGCCCAGGAACAAGAGCAGCAGGTGCTGGGGCCCAGGTCACGGTGGCGCCCTGGGAAACAGCATCCAGTGGCCCTGCAGTTACAAGGCTCTTGGGGAACAGCCTCCCGAGGCAAGAGTCCCTGGAGAGACAGCAAAGCTGCAGGGTGGGGGCACCAGGCTGCAGGTGAGTCAGGGTGCAGACGCTCGCCGAGCCCCACAACCCAGGAAGACAGGTCAGGGAGGGCTGTCTTATTGCAGGGAGTCTCACACGTGGGTGCTGCGCCCGTAGAGCCGAGCAGGCGACTGGACTCCAGTCAGTCTGCTCCGAGCATGTGACCTCAGTGCCCCAGGAACCTTTTTTTTTTTTTTGCAGTACTGGGGATCGAACTCGGGACCCTATGCTTGCAAGGCAGGCACAGTGCCACTGAGCTAAATCCCCGACCCTCCCCAGGACCCTTTTAGAGGCTCTGTCCCCTCACCAGGAAGACCAGTGATCGCTTCTGCCTTCCGTGTTATTTTCAGGACAGAGGCTGTGCCCGGCCTGCGGGAGACACTGGGCAGGCAGTGAAGGAGCCAGGACAAGGCCTGGAAACAGCATCCAGCTTCACAGTGCCTCTCATCTCCACTCCCAGCATCCCCTGGGCTCAGGCAGTGCCAGCCAGAGCTGGGATGGACTGGGTTGGCCCATGGCCTGCAGCCCCCTGGTGGGAGGAGGACTCAAGGGTAGGAGCCCAGGAAGCAGCACCCAAGGAGCTTTGAGCCAAGGTCCTGCTCCCCCCGCCCCCCGCTGGTCAGGCCGTGAAGTTGCACTTCCTGTGCCCCACCCCTGGCCCTGCTGCGGCCTGTTACTTCCGGAAGCCCTCAGCACCTCCTTTCTTGGGGACAGTAGCACAATACAGAGACCCCTCTCCCAAAGGGGTCCAGATTGCAACCAAGAGAAACCCCACCCTGTCCATGCCCACTCTGGCCCTTCGGACATGCAAGGGTGGGTAAAATGAACACAGTGACGTCCTCAGGCAGGTGACACTGGAACCCAAGCTGAAACCCAGCCCTGCGTGGCCAGGCTGACTTCCCTGTGCTCAGTCCCTCCCAGGTGACCTCTGCTCAGCGGATGCTGCTTTTCAGGAGCCTGAGATCCTACAAGAGGAGGACGCCAGGGCCTCCGGGTGCCACCCCCGGCCATTTGAGTGGCCAGACAGCCTGTTGCCCTCAGGACAGGACGCCCTTGAGGAGCTCTGCCTGCCTGCAGACCTGGACAAGGCCCTGGGGACTGCCGCAGTGGCTGGTGGGTGCCCCCGCCGGGTCTGCCGGTCGGGCCCTTGGGGAGGGGCATGGAGCAGGCCCAGCAGCTGGGTCAGCAGGGCCCTTCCTTCAGCACGACTGTCCCACATGTACATCCGGGCAGCTCCCTGGGACTCCCAGAAATACATGCACAGAGCTGGAAGACACCCAGCCACGGTGCAGGGCAGGGCTGTGCAGATGTCCCCAGCATGGCCAGGTCACCGAGTGACCTTGCTGGCTGCAAATGACAGCTCCGCTACATCTGGGGCTGCTCTGGGGATCGAAGCAGCTGTCCTGTCAGAAGCCCAAGGCCTCTTGTCAGGAGCCCAGGAAAATGAGCAGCTAAATTGGCTCTACTGAATTTTGCCAGTGTTGCTTCTAAATGAAATCCCGAATCGCTTCCCTCTCCTGACCCCAGGGAGCTCAGCCAATGGGTTCAGCAGTTCAGGCACCATTAAAGTCGAGCAAACAGATCTGGTGGCCGCAGCCTTCCCCGTGCTGTACGCCAGCTCCCTTGTCACTGTACGGGGACAGAGAGGTCGTGTTCCTCACGCTGGCTGGGATCCTGGGCAGGGGGCAAAGGCAGTGGTACCCATGCTGCAGGATGGGAAGGAGACGGGCAGCCATGCTCACTGTCGATGTGGAACAAACTGTTGCACACTTGGTGCTTCCACTACACATGTGTGTCGCCCCCCCCCCCCGGGATGGGGCGTGGCTGGGTCACCGTGTCCTCGGCCCAGTGCTGAGGAGTCAAGGGCAGGGAGGAGCTGCACCCTTCACCTCTGGAGGAGCCGTGCAGGGCCACCCTGTGAGGGTCGCCTGCATGTGCCCTTCCCTGCCACCTGTCTGCCTGTGGCTGTCTGTCCAGGCGCCGCTGTGCTAGTGATGGGTGAGAGGTGAGGGAGGCTCCCCAAAAGCGCCCGGGGAATACGCATCCCAAGCCACATTCGGGGTGCTCCTGCCAGGAAGTGTGCAAATCACAGGTCCCGGGACAAAGCACCGGCAGTGGCCAGGCCGATGCAGGGAGACTTCCCTAAGCTCCCTGTTCTGATGGGAAGGTCCGGCCCCTCTGCCCTCTGCACACGTGGAATTGGGCATCACTCGCAGTCCAGAATTTGGGGTTCCACTACCTTGGCTCTGCAAACACAGAGAGCTTGTCAATTCCTCTTTTGTCCTGAAGATCCAGCAGGGCTGTGGTTCTGACCCATTCTCGCTGTGGCTTCACCGTCTCAACCCAAAATACTAAATTAAATTCAAAGGAATTTAATTGTGGCTCTGCTTTCTTCGCTCTTTCATGGTCTTCACTGCATAAAACAAACCTGTGAGCTTTCGGCTTTTCAGGTCATTCAGACCTTCTCTGTCTCCACAGGGACAAGTGTCCACCAGCTCCCTGCGCAGTACCTGGCCAACGTGGACACCTCCGATGAGGACAGCATCCGGGCGCCCAGGGCGACCTCCCAGCATCCTGAGCAGAGGGGCCGGGCTGCACGCGTCAGCCAGGTAACGGTGGCTGGGAAGGGCTCGGTCTCTGGGCGGACCTGCTACCTTGGTCCTGTCATGGGGAGCCAGGTCCTGACGCAGCGAGGACCCGGCCCCTCACTTCCTACCTCAGTCTTAGTGCCCTTGAGGAAAGAATTCACTCAAGACCCACAGGCCATGCAGAAGTCCGGTAGATCTTACTGTAAAGTAGACGCAGCAAGAGTCCTGCCTGCAAGAGCAAGGGTAGAGAGTGCCACAGGGGTGTCTGCCCCAAGTGCGAGTTCACATACATGTTTACGCACCCAAGGTTACTCCTGGGGTCCTGGGCATCACAGGCCGTGCAGAGCCGAGCCCCGAGCTGACTGTGCAGCCCCTGCCCTCGCCGGCCTCCCCAGGGCTCGGGAGGAGGATGTGGTGTTCCACAGCGCAGTGTCGGGCTCCCCCACCCCAGGCCCACACGCAGCACATGGGCCGGGTGACAAAGGCCACCCACCTGGCACTCCCTGGGGAATCGCTCACTGCCCGCCGGCACTGATGGGCTTGGGGCTGGTCTGGGCTCCCAGGGCCACTTCAGGGTCAGGGACACTCTTGGATGACATTTCCAGCATCTGTCTTCTCCCCTCGAGGCGCAGGGTGCTGCAGAGATGGAGCTAATTGCCCTCCTGCTGATGCAGGTGTCCGGATGCTCTGCAGGGCCATTTCCCCCCGACACAAGGCAGCCAGAGGCGGCCTGCAGATGAGATGCCCCTGCCTGAGAGCATCGATCCCTGGGCCATCATCTGGGAGCTAATGGGCCGTGGTGACCCGAGGGCCTGGTGACTCAGGGAGAGGAAGCTGCCTGGGACCCAGAGTCACCCTGGCTCTCGGGGGCTCATGGCTTTGGCTGGTCCCGCATCCTGTCTGCTCATGCCTTCCTGTGCCCATCAGGCCGGCAGTGACCACCACGGGCCACAGTGATGGCAGCGTCATCCCTTCAGCTCTGCTTCCGGCCCTGCTGGCCCTGTCACCGCCCACCTTGCCAGCCTTTGCTGGGCGCTCCTGGGCCCTGGCCCTCAACCCTCCACACCTGGGGAACGTGGGGCCTTCCAGGTGTGGGAGCCAGCTGGGCCGCCAGCCGCCGTCCTCTCCGCCGTGACAGATCTCTGAGCTGCACAAGTGCCTGTCAGCACGCAGTAGCCATCCGCCGCTTGGAGAGACCTCTCTTGGCCCCCTCAGCCATACCTTGGCCCAGGGGCTAGGCAGGCAGAACAGCCCGCGGCCCTCAGAGTTTGAGGTGCCCACTCGGGCTCTGGGAAGAGTCAGTCAGTCTCCTGCTGGTCCCAGGAGTGAGCTCTGTGTGAGGTGCTGCCTGCCAGGAGGTCTCCCTGCACAGCCCCCTGTGTGCAGCCACCTCCGGTCCAACCACACCATGCCATGCATGGCCAGGTCGGTGGGGCCCTGGCTCTGCAGCCCCGGGGTCCAGACGACAGCGGGCAGGCGGCCTCTGTGCTGCAACAGTGGCTGCGTAACCAGCACCACCTCAGTCCTCGCGCTGTGCTGGGAGATCCGAGAGGCCCCTTAACTCCTAACGATCAGGGATCTTTTCGGGCTCTCAATGGAGCCCCCATGCGGTCATGGTCTGCCCGCCATGCCACCACACAGCAGAGAGCGGGCCCGGCGAGTGACCAGAGGGCCCGGACTCGATGCTAAAGCTGCCCCTCCGTCAGAACCATGCACCCCTCACCTCTCGGAGCCTGCACCCCGAGACTGCAGGGCCACACAGGAACTTCAGGCCATAGCCACGCACAGACCCGAGCCAGTGCAGCAGGTGTCAGTGTGTGCCCAGGTGTGCCCAGTGTGTGCACCTGCATCTGAGACGGACTGCAGTCGGCCGGGGTGCCGAGGGCTGGGGGCCCACCCCCAGCCGCAGACCGAGCACTGGGCACCCAGTTTGTGGATCTTCAGGCCCTGATCCCTGACAACCCTGCTGTTGACTAGGAGGCATGGCCTCCTGCCAGGGCCACCAGGCCCAGATCCTGGCTGCCGATACCTCGTTCACCAGGGACCGAAGTCCTGGGACCTGGGACACTGCTGCTTACGCCTGGAGCCCTGGCCACTGAGGACAGCTGGCCCTGCCGCCCCGTTGCCCATCACATGAGTGTGTTGTCAGGTGTTTAACATACATGTGCCTGCGTGTGCACTGTGTGAGGTGTGTGCCAAGGGGCGATCAAAATATACAGTGAGTGATTCCATTTTGAGAAACACATTACAGTAGAAGACACATCGCCATGAATCCCCCCACGATCCTCCCCCTTGCTTCAGACACACACCCCATCGTTCTCACCACTTTCTGAAGCAGCTCTGGATCCTCTTCCCTGAGTGTCCTCAGGAGCTGTGATCAAAACTATGGTGAATGTTGCTGCCGCACACCATCCAAGGAAAGGCAGCTCACAAAACATGGCACCGTGTCCTCATCCACCCTACTCACTGGCTCTGGGACCGTGTGACTCCTGGCTCTTCCTCAAAGTCAAAACGACCATGAAAGGTCAATATTTTGGGTCAATTCAGAGCATCGAGGCAGCCAGGACAGTGCAACTAAAGACTCTCATGAAAGAGGACTCCAGAGCTGCTCAGAAAGTGGTGAGGACGACGGGATGAGTATATTTAGAGTGAGGGGCAGGATTTTTTTTTTTTTTTTGGTACCAGGGATTGAACTCAGGTCCTTGTGCTTGCGAAGAAAGCAGCAAAACCACTGAGCTAAATCCCTGGCCCTAAGGGGCAGGATTTTGAGGGAGATTCATGCAAATGGGTCTTTTACAGTAATGATCTTTTAAAAATTAAACTTCTCTGTACCCCTCCCACCCATGGATGGGTGCGCGTCCGTGCTTGTGCAGCAGGGATGATGCCCCCCACAGGCCGCAGCCTCCGCCCACGTGCCCTTGGTGCCCTGCTTTCTCACAGACCCCTGGGTCGCTCTCGCCCATGTGATCTGACAGAGCTGCAATCATTGCGGAGTCAGAGGAATTTGAGGACCAGGTGCTGTGGCAGCTCTCTGCTGTGGTCTCAGGGCCTCTGGTTCTGACAGCAGAGCGTGCGGATCGTGGCCCGGGGGCCTCTCCACACCCGATCTAATTAGCCGCTGCCTGTGGCCTGTGAGGCCTGCTGCTCCGTCCTAATGGAAATTGAATGACTGTGAGCTGCTTCCTCTCGGCTGAGAGGGCTGGGCCGAGGAGGGATCGATCGATGCTGCCCATCGAAGCCTCCCAGGGAGAGGCTGGGCCCTCCTTGCAGGGCGCAGTGTGACGAGGTGACCCCCCCTGAAGGGGTGACAGGGATGAGTGCTGAGCTGGGGCAGCGCCCATGAGTCCGAACTGCCATGCAGGAGGCCGGGGGGAGGCCGGAGTGGACAGACAGACTGGCCTCCTGGCCACGTTGTTTGGTGGACCTGTGATTTTGCACCAGGCGGGAGGTGGCCAGGGACATGCAGCAGTGCCCTCCTCAGTGTCCAGGCAGGGAGCAAGGGGCAACCCATTGACAGCAGGGACCACCGTCAGGGTGTGGGGAAGCAGAGAGGATAAAGCCAGGTGGGTGACAGGGCCTCATGAGAGGGGAGGAGCCTCGCTGGTCGGACAGGCCATGGCCACTGTGTGCTTGGCCACAGGGAGCGGCCCCGTCTTGACCCAAGGTGGCCACAGCAGCAGCAGGCGGGACTGGCAGTAGGCAGGACAGCGAGTCCAGGGAGAACCCGGAGCCCAACCGTGATGCTCCGTCCATGGCCGTGGTGATTTCCGTCCCAAGATGGGAGCGGCAGAGAGCACCCAGAGCCCTGGGCCGTCGGCCCCCTGGTCTCAACTCGGGTCAGCACCCTCCTGCCAGGGCAGGGCCACAGGAAGGGCTCGGGGCCCGGCTCAGGGAGAGGGAGAACCGTGCCCGTCAGCTTCCACACGCGCAGGCTCAGGGTGGTGCTCGGCTCAGGGGGTTCAGACCCCAGCTGCGACATGGATGAACCTCGAGTGAAACCAGCCAGTCACAAAGGACAGGCACTGTTTGACCTCACTTATATGAGGCGCCCGGAGAAGTCAGAACCACAGAGACAGAAAGAAAATGGAGCCAAGTGCGCACCTGCGACAGTCCCAGCACTCTGGGAGGCTGAGGGAGGAAGATCGCAGGCTCCAGCCCAGCCTGGGCACCTTAGTGACGTGGTGAGACCCTGTCTCAAAATAAATTTAAAAAGGACTGGGGATGCAGCTCAGTGCGAAGACCCTGGGTTCAATGCTCAGTGCTGGAAAGAGAAGGAGATGGAGGAGGAGGAGGAGGAGGAGGAGGAGGAAGAAAAGGAGCAGAAGAAAGGCAGCTGCAGGAGCTGGGGGGGAGAGGGTTCCATGGAGACAGAGCCATGGGCCCTGGAGGAAGAGTCCGTGGCGGGTGGTGGCACACGTGGCGGGAATGTGGTTACATTGCTGAGCTGGGCACCTTACAGTGGTTCCCACGGTAAATTCTATGCATGTGTCCAGCCACAGTAAGAAAAAGAGAAGGTGTCTTAGTTACTTTTCTCATTGCTGAGACAAAATACCCAACGCCCAAAGTTACAGGGGAAGGGGTTTATTTAGCTCAGTGTGTAGAGGTTTCATTCCATATCAGCTGCCTCCAAGGCAGGGTGGCACATGGCAGAGGAGCATCACAGAGGAGAAACCATTCATGGTGCCCACACAGTAGCAAAAGCAACAAGGGACCTTAACAGTGTCTTTCTGCCCCTTTATCTTCTCCAGACTATGTAAGGCGGGCAGCATGCACACCCTTGAGCCTAGCACTGCACCATGAATCAATCACACACTCTAGATCCAGCCACCCCAGTAAAAGCCCTGTCTAAGACTTTGTGAGGCTTTGGGGACATCTAGACACAAACCATTACAGAAAGGAAGGCCACCAGAGTAAGGTGGGTCTGACCTGGCCATGGGTACTAGTGAGGTACTGGGCACTAGGTACTCGGTACTAGGGCCGGGCTCTGCAGTCTGGGGACTGGCTTGCAGAGAGGAGGAACCTGGGCTCCCGGGGGCCTGGGGTGCCAGGCTGGCTGTCCCTGCCTCTGAGCACCTCCTGTCACTGCAGCCCCCCACCCACGCTGGCGCACACACAGAGGCCGACCTGGAGGAAGAGAGCCTGAGGAGGAAGCTGCAGGCACTGACCAGCAGCCTCAGCGATGAAGGCTCCTCGTCCGAAGAGGAGGTGGCCAGGGACACAGCAGCTCGGGCGACCACAGAGGTGCGACCTTCACGTCCCCGTGGGGCTCAGCAGAGGGAGGAGCAGGGTGGATGGGCCCAGCCAGGCCTCCCCGGGCAGGCGCCCTGCAGGGGACACCAGGAACCTTGATGAGAGCCGAGCGGTGACAGGCATGGGGAGCAGCTCCCGCGCTCAGGGCGAAGGGTGGCCCCCCTGCTGTCCCCTGCTGTTTCCTGCTGGCCACCTTCGTCCTCTTCTTCTGTAGGTGTGCACAGCTGCAGGCCACATGGACGCCTGGGACAGCAGCCCTCCGGCCCCCGGGGTCCGCCCCGTGCCCAGCAGGACCACGGATGAGGCGCTGTCGGAGCTGGAGGGCAGAGTAGCCACATCAGCCTCCAAGGTGCAGCAGGCGGAGAGTGAGGTAGCCCCAGTGCAGGGCGGCTGGGTTCCAAAGACAGCGGGAGCGGTGGCCACCAGGACCAGGACGCCCTGGCTCACAGCCCAGCCTGCACTCCTCCTGCCGCTGCCCGCTGACCAGAGAGGGTGGGCTGGTCTGCAGCCTTGGGCCACGCGCTGAGCCCATGCGGCAGCAAGGCCCACACTGGACAGGCCCAGGGCCACCCTGGGAGCCGGCAGTGCTGCAGGCAGGAGTTTGGGTGAGGAATGGACGCACCAACGGCACGTGGGTCAAAGGCATGGACCCCAGGGTCAGCCAGGCCACGGGCACACTGTCCTCACGTGGAGCCCCACAGGGAGGACACCTGTCCCCAGACCCCAGGGACAGCCCGCACCCTGCCTTTGTCTCTCGTCTCTTCCCACCAGAGAGGCAGGCACGGAGCCCAGCACCACCCACGTCACAGGGAGTGAGGCAGCTGGTCTTTCAGTTTCTCGCTCCTTCCTGGAGCGTGGCAGGCACACGCAGGGTGCCAGAGACAGCTGTGAACATGCCAGACTGTGCCCAGACTGTGTGGGGCTTGTGGGAGGCAGTGGAGCACAAATGAAATTATTTCACCATGACACAGCTGTGAACGTGATAAGTGGACAGACCCCACAGTGCTGGGCGGGGCTGTTTACAGAAGCAAGGGGATGGGCACCTCAGTGACAAGCACAGCTAGGGAGTCTGGGCAGAGGACGTGGCGTGGCATGGCGTGTGCAAAGGCCCTGGGGTAATGTTGGGCTGGGCATGTTTAGGGCTCAACAATGCAAACCTGACAGGAGCATGGTAATGGGAAGGTGGAAGAGGCAGGTCCCAGAGGAGAGTGGCTGTCAGGCAGCCCCAGGATCACAAGAAGCCTGGGGTAGGGGCTGGGGTGTAGCTCAGTTGTAGAGCATGTTTAGCATGCACAAGGCCCTGGTTTTGATTCCCAGAACCACGAAAAAAAAGAAAAGTAAAATGAAAGCGAGCCACTGGAGGGGTCTGAATGGGAGAGGAGGTAACACCTTGTTTTTGTTTCCAGAAGCTGGTTCCAGGGGTGGTGGGTGGATGTACTGGTCAGCTCCCACTGCTGGACACAACACCCAATACTCATAATGTAAAGGAGGAGAGGCTTAATATGGCTCACAGTTTCAGGGAATTCAGTCCAAGGTCAGCTGGCTCAAGGCAGGAACATTGTGGTGGAAGGGCCTGGTGAGCAAAGATAGTTATTGACAGCAGGGAACAGGAGAGCAGCACCAGAGAGGAAGGAGTCAGGGAGAGATGCAGTGCCCAAGGTCTGCCTCCATGACCCACCAGACACAGCCAGAAGTCAGCTGCACTGCTCCCCATGGCTTCCAAGCCATCAGGCTGACACAGCCTAGCTTACCTGTGGCAGTAGAGGTTCGCAGGCCGGAATCAGCCCAGAGCTGCCCTCCTGCCGCCCCAGCTCTGTCCCCGACGAGAGCCACACTCCCTGACAGGACTCCAGGCATGCTCAGCCCTTCCCCGCTACCTAGGGTGGGGGGTCCCACAAGAGCACCCCAACCATAGAAGGAATGCAGGGGGAGCCCGGCCCCCTGGTTGAGGCCTCAGTCTCCAGGGGAAGCAGAGGCCAAACTGGTCCAAGGGCAGCTGCAGGACGTCAGAGTGACGTCTTTCTGCTGCTCTCCAGGTTTCTGACATCGAGTCCAGGATTGCAGCCCTCAGAGCTGCAGGGCTCACGGTGAAGCCCTCGGCAAGGCCTCGGAGGAAGTCAAACCTCCCGGTGAGTGGGGGACCAGAGCACCCCACAAGTCTGCACCCCGAGACCTCCCCGGAGCCTGTGGTGCTAAAGGCCCTGGGCCCTGGGCTAGTCCCTACCCCGAGAACCGGAAACGCACAACTGAAACCGCAGTCAGCAACCTGGCATACAGAACCCCACTGGGGACTTCACAAACTGCTGTCCTAAGACAAGTGTGGCCTGGACAGGGAGGCCTGGGGCCCAGACTTGCCCTCCAGCAGGGGCCTGGAGCCAGCACCGTCCCCCACTGAGCCCAGGACCCGGCTGGGGAGGAGAGGGGGGAGGAAGGAGGGGAGGCCCCTGGGGTTGCCAGGGAAACGCCGGGAGCACATCTCAGGTAAATGGCAGACCGTGCTCTGGTATAAGTGTATCCCCTGCAACTTTGGGGATGTGATTACACCAACCAATCATTATTGTTTGTCTGAAATGCAACATTAACTGGGTGTCCCATTTTTCAGTCTGCCAAGCTCATAGCCCTGGCCCCAGAACCCTGGAGGGGTGTGAGACGTTACTCCAGCATTCTGTGAATTTTTATTGTTGATTTTGTGTGTTGTTGTTGTGAAATATATACTGAGGATTGGATCCAGGGCCTCCTCAATGAGCTACATCTTAGCCATTGTTTGTTTTGGAGGTTTTTTGAGACAGGGTCTTGGCTAAGTCAGTAAACTGCTCAGGCTGGGCTCAAACTTTCAGTCACCCTGCCTCAGCCTCCCAGAGTGCTGGGATTATAGGCGTGTGCCACCACACCTGTCTTGCCCCAGCATTCCTCACCAGGTGATTACAGCTCCTGTCCACCCTGCGTCCAGCCAGCCCACCCCGACTCTCACCCTGTGCCTTTCCGTTTAACAAGACAGAGGCGACATACAGCCCCTTGCTTGTCTTCCAGATCTTCCTTCCTCGAGTGCTGGGGACTCTTGGCAGGAGTGTGGAGGATCAGAATGCAGACCCTGCGGAGGAGGGCAAGGTGTGCGCTGTCCCACCCACCACCAGAGGCCAGGCCAGGAGAAGGGTGACTTTGGAAGTGCGCACAGAGAAGACTTTGGGTCAAAGCATTTGTTGGGGATAATACCGTAGGGGAGTGGAGAAGGGTCACCAGAGGGCTCGCTCTAGTGAGGAACCCTGGGGACAGCACTCTGGAGTTACCTCGCTCAGGAACAGGGTGGTGGGGTCCTTGTACTGGCCAGCTTTCCTATCACTGGAACGAACTTCCTGACACCTGCAATTTAAAAAGAGGAGAAGAAGGCCAGGGATTTAGCTCAGTGGTTTTGCTGCCTGCTGTGCAAGCGCAAGGCCCTGAGTTTGATCCCCGGTACCAAAAAAAAAAAAAAGAGAAGAGGCTCATGGTGCGTATTTCATGGGGCCTGGAAGCAGAGCAGGGGAACAGTGGCAGAGAGGAAGAGACCAGGGACCAGACATAGAAATCACACCTCAGTGACACCTCCAGACACACCCGGAAGTGTGCTCCACCTAGGAGGCTCCCAGCCAATCAGGATGACGAGCTAAACCACCCCAGCCTTCACCCTCCTCCCCATCACCACGGGTCAGGGCCACGCCCGGACAGCCTGTGTTCCCGGGCACTTCCTGCCTGTGCAGTGGCCTGGGGACGTTGCTCTGCCTGAGGGACACAGGCACTGGCTGCTGACAGTGAAAATACTCAGGAGCCAGTGTGCAGGAAAACAGCCTGGGGGCGTGGAAGAGGAGGAGCTGGGGATTACCATGTAGGGGGGTTAGGAGCAGGATTGGGGTGCCAGGGCCCAGGCCCCGCTCATAGCCCGAAGCAATGGTGAGCGCCCCCCCTCCCGTGCGTGCGCATGCGCAGCGACTTCCCATTCTGGCCCCAGCCCCGGGCGGCTCCGCCCAGCCGATCCCGGTGCTATCCAGCGTCCTTCGCTCCACTAGAGTTCGCAGTGCTTGACCGGTGTCATGTGGGTTCGTCATGGCAGGGTCCCAGACAGGCCCAGGCCCTGACGTCCCGTCCATCCACTCCACTGGGCCATGTGCTCCGTGGGCCCCTGAAGCCACCTGCAGGGGTCGCCCGCAAAACAGGAGGGAAAAAGCCAGGCACAGTTCTGGGCCACTTGGGCCCTTTGGCCTTTGCCACGTCTGAAAACCCCAAACCGAGAATGGATTTTTTTTTCAGCACTGGGGATTGAACCTAGGGCCTCCACACTGAGCTGTGTCCCCAGCCTTTTCTAATTTTTTATTTTGAGACGGCGGAGGCTCCCCAAGTCGCGAAGTCCCCCATCACCGGGTACAGTGACGTGGACTCATCCCGCGTGAGCCTCCGTTGGCCCCTCTGTGAGATGGAACCGTGGGGAGTCCTGGTGCTCCCCGTGGCTGCTGGTCACCACCCCTCCTCTCTACAGTGGGAGAAGAGAGTCATTCTCAGCTCAGCATGCTGGTGCACGCCTGTGATCCCAGCCCTGCGGGAGGCTGAGGCAGGAGGATCGAAAGTTCTAACCCAACCTGTGCAATTTAGCAAGTTACTGAGAGACCCTGACTCAAAAAAATAAAAAGGGGCTGGGGGTGTAACTCAGTGCAAAGGCCCTAGGTTCAGTCCCCAGTGCTGCAAAAAATGAAAGAAAAAAAAAGAAGAAGCCTGAACTCAGCCCGCAGTGTTTCTGAACACTGATGACCGGGGGACGTTTTCTTTCTCCCAGGCAGCAGCCGAGCCCTGTCTTCCGAGGAGAAAGTACTCCCCCAAAGCTGACGGTAAGAGCCCTGCTCCATCCCCCGGGGGCTGGGAAGTCACTCGGGGTTGGGGGCAGTGGCCCATTGGGGTCTACAGAGTTCTCTGTGCTCTGTGGGACCCACCTCCTGCCCAGGCACTAATGAACACCCCAGCTCAGCCTGGGGCCCACACCTGTAATTCTAGCACTCAGGAGGCTGAGGCAGGAGGATTGCCACAAGTTCAAGGCCAGCCTGTGCTATGTAGTGAGTTCAAGGCTAGTCTGAGCTGCAAAGTGAGACCCTGTCTCAGAAAACAAAATCAAAAACAGAGCACGCCAGAGCCACTCTGGCCCCTTGGGCCTGGCATGGGGGCCCTGCACAGGAGCCTGTGGTCTGGGCCAACCGAGACCATCTGGGCCACCCCATGATCCGTGCCCTCCGGTATAAACTGTTCTGCTCACCACTCCTTCCCTGGGGCCAGCACAAGGTCACTTGTTCTCCTCGAGGTTCCGGTGGTGACAAGGACAGCAGCTTTGCCCCATGCCCCTGACCCTGTGGCCATATGCGCATTGGCTCCCTCTGTATCCCTGCCCAGCTCCGCCGCGGGACCAGGCAGGTCCCCACGGCCTCCTGACAGGCCTCGCCGTGGAAGGCTGTGTCCAGTCCAAGCTCGGCAGGACCAACCCTGGGCCAGGGAGTCACATGGCATCCGGGGCTGAGCCCTTCCCGGGTCAGGTCACTCCCCACCACCTCCCACCTGCATGCAGTTCACAGGGTCTGCAATCCCCTCCTCAGGGCCACTCTGTCCTCCTGCTCAGGGTAATGACCCTGCTAAGCCCACTCGCTGGACAGAGGTGGTCCCGGGGCCACAGCGCCAGGCTGGGCACCCTGCCAGAAGGGGACAAGACAGGGACAGTGAGCCAGGAGGACACCTGGGAGTCAGGAGGGAGCGAGCAGGGAGGAGGAGAGGCCCTGTGGGCATTGTGTCCCTGACAGGGCGGCCTGAGGGATCCCAGGAGCTGGGCCACCTCCAAGCCCAAGCGCCAGGTCAGGACGGTCCCCACCCGGGATGGAGGGACACAGGCTGTGGTGTCACCCACCCAGCCGAACCCAAGAAACGTCAGGGACCACAGCCAGCCCCGCACCCTGGGGAGACTGTTCTGGGCCAGGACCCCAGACCCTGCATTCGCTGTGCACCAAACAGTAAAGGAAAGCGAGTACAGGCCCCTTGGTGCTTGCCGGGTTAGAGTTAGGAGGGACAGCTCTAACCCAGATGTGCACAGCTGTGTTAGCAACGGGGTCCATCCACTGCCGGGTTCTCTCCAAAGGCCCTAGATCGCTGAAGTGCTGGCTTGGGGTAGGTTTACGATGTGTAAAACTACCCCCTCTCTCTTCCCCAAGGCAAAGACCAGGAGCCCTTGGAGCGGAAGTCACTGTACCTCGGGTCCCTGACGCAGAGGAGCCCCAGCAGCAGGAGGGGGATGGCCCGCCACATCTTCGCTGTAACGTTTTTGTTGTTTTGTTTTTTGAGCCAGGGTCTCACTTTGTAGTTCATGCTGGCCTTGAACTCACTATGTGGCCTAGGCTGTGGGACGAGGTGCCGGGTCAAAGGCTGCCCCCGACTCAGGTGGGAGGTTCATTGCCCAGGCTCCTCCCAAACACCAGAAATTCCTGCAGGAAGTACATCTTAGTGACTGACCTGCCACCCGCAGCCTCAGATCCCCAGGAACCCAGGTCAGCTGCCCTCTGCATGGGGCCCAGGCGCCCCACAGTGCCTCCCAAATAGCCCCTCAACCTCAGATCAGCAGGTCATGGAGTTGCTCAGGATGGCCTGGGGCCAATGCTCTGTGTATCAGTCCATGTCTGTTACTGTAACGGTTTGCCCCAGGCAGGTGTCTCAGTTACTTTTCTAGTTGCTCAGACAAAATATCTGAATCCTACAAGTTAAAGGAGGAGAGGTTTATTTCAGCTCACAGTTTGTAGAGGTTTCAGTCATAGTCAGCTGGCTTTGAGGTAGGCTAGTGTGGCAGAGGGGCCTGGCAGAGGGGCATCGCAGAGGAGAAACAGTCCATGGCAGGGCAGCAGGAAGCAGCAGCAGGAAGCAGCTTTCTTTCTGTCTGATTGATACCACCCACACCTCAGGTGGGGCTTCCATCATCCACTCCCAGAACTGTGCTAAACTTGGTTAGTTATCACCCTAAATCCCAGCATCACTCACCCTAATCCAGCATTACACACCCATGATCCAGCCACCTCCCCAAAGCCACATGTGTGAGGACAGGAGGCTTTGGGGACAGCTAGATACAAGCCGTACCAGCAGGCAACTTTATAAACAAAAGAGGTTTGTGCAGCTCACAGCTCTCGAAGTTCAGAGCGAAGGCACAGGCACGAGCTCAGCACTGGCAGGGCCACACGTAAGGAGAAATCTCACCAGGCAGCACGGCAGGGAGCAACTCAGGACTCAGGCTTCTAAAACAACTCACTCTGGTGAGAACCTCCCGGGATCCTGAGAACCACATGAACCCCAGGTGCCTCGGACCCTGTCCCAGGACTATACCCCCTCTAGTTTTATTTTTTCCTCAGTACTGAGACTCAAACTCAGGGCTTTTGCACTGACCTGCATGCCCAGCCCTTTTCCATTGTGAGACGGGGTCTCACTGAGTGGGCTTGAATTTAAGATCCTCCTGCCTCAGCCTCCCAGAGTGCTGAGATTACAGGTGTGTGTCACCATGCCCAGCTCCTTCTGGCCCTCTTGGTAGCTAACTCAGTGTGGCCAGAAACTCCACTTTAAACCAATGAAAGTATCTCTCGAAACCAGAAGGTAGTCGACAGGGTGAGCTCTATCCCTGCAGACATCCCGAGGCAGTGACAGGGAGCCAGGGCACACACATGGGATATGGCTGGTGGAGGGCAGAGCTGCCCCTGCACCCCTCTGCCCAGGAAGGGGGCTGTGGACTCTGGGCCCGGAGTGTCTTCTGGGACTGGTACTGGGGAGGTGGGAGGCAGCAAGTGTCGACAGAAACAGGAGCGCATACATCTGACACTCGCAGCCTGGACTCAGCCTGCCCGTGCTCTGAGCTTTCAGTTTCAAGTGCTTCCCACCTACCCGGGTGGCACTGCGATGGGGCCCTGCGTCAGTGACCACACTCACGCTTCGGAGACAGGGCGGGCGGTGGTGTAGAAATCCCAGGAGCTGACAGATACCTGCAGAAAAGCAAACCAGCGTCCGCCCACCGTGTCAACCCTCATAGGTGTGGTGTGCAGCCGCGTGCCCTCCCCCGTGCCATGTGCAGTGTGCACGCTCCTGTGCCTGAGCTTGTGTCTCCGTGTGCATGGCCACATGAGTATCCACACCTGTGTGTCTGTGTGCACACCCACCCGGGTGTCTGCACACATAACTGCACCTGCGCCTGGTGCACACCTGTGTATCTAAGCCGTCCGTGCCCATCTGTGGGGGTGCTTTACCATGTGCGCCTGTGTATCCCTCAGGTGCCTGTGAGCGTCTGTGTGCACACTCGTGTAGGGGATGCTGTGCACACTCATGTGTGCATGTCTGTGCTCTGTAGAAACCCGTGATGGCCCAGCAGCCCTAAGAGGACGCTTGGGACCAGGACAGAGAGGACGCTTGGGACCAGGACAGAGGCACTGGGAGCCCTGCACTGCACCCACCGCACAGCCTCCTGTCCTTCCAGGAGCCACACTTCCTGCCACGCGCAGTCTCCTCCCCAGAGAGAAACCAGAAGACGCCTGTCCGTATGACCTCCGGCTGCAGATGCCAGCACCTCAGACTCCAGCTGTTTTCAAGGTGCCAGGGCCACCTGCCCAGCTCTGAGCCCTGCAGGAGCTGAGCTGAGGTGCCCTCCATGGGGTGGCGCCATCTCAGGGTGTGGAAGGACACGGGTGACCTCATCACTGATCTCCTGGCCTTCCTTGTCTGGCTGTGCTGTGTGGAGCAGCGACTGAGCTCCTGTCCATGTTAGGTCTGTGAAGCAGGACACCAGACATCGAGGCAGGTGACTGCCCGCAGGATCTGCTGGCTGAGGAGCAGACGCTCACCTGCCCCGCCTGCCCCCTCTGCAGGCTCCCTTGACCCACAGGCAGGGACAGCTGCACCACCAACACCCCATGGTCCTTCCCCCACCCCAGGAGTGCCACCCTGGCCCGAGCCTTCACAACACCGTCTGACCGTGGCCTGTGGCCTGCACTTTCTAGATGACTCATACTCAGAAATAAACTCTGCCAATTCACAGAGATGAGTGCTTTCAAATGTTCACAAGAGTTGGGTTTCACACACCATTTCTAACAGAAAGGGCTCTGCTTCAGACTCATTTCCTCCAGAAGGAGAACGAGGGGGGGACATCTTGTCAGCTCGCTCAGGCCCATTCCTGGGGCGCTGTGCCAGTGTCCTGTGGCCATGAGCTGCGTAGAACACAACCACAGAATGTGTCCCCCCGAGTTTAAGGCCCGGAGGTCAGAATCCAAGGGTCAGGAAGGTTGGCTACATCTGAAGTTTCCAAGTGCCTTGGGCTCCAGCTGTTCCGGCCTCTTCCAGCCCTGGCACTGCCCTCCGTCCCTGGTGCCCCGACTCTGCCTCCTTGGGCCCCACCTGTCCGTGAAGCTCTGACCGAGCAAAGCCAGACCAAGAGCTCGCTCCCCACCCTGAGACCTGTGACCCCCCGGGGCAGAGGTGTGGGAAGAGCTCCCCAACCTCAGTCTGCAGCTGAAGTCCTGCAGGGTCCCCTTCTCTGAGCACACCAAAGCCAGTGCAGCCGGGGTGCCCAGCCAGGCCTGCAGCCCTGCCCTGGGGGGTGACAGCCCTTTGCCTTCTACCACCGGCACCCAGCACCTCCAGCCGTCCAGGGGCCCCAGGACCTCAGGCTCTCTAGGGGATGAGGGGACAGGACTGATACCAAGACCCCATGCCACCTCCCTCCAACGGGCCCCACGGTGGCAAGGTGCCCAGGCCACACTGCGATGAAGCTGCTCCACCTATACACACTCACACTTATGCCCTCACACGCATGCACACTCATGCTCTCACGTGGCAGAGTGCAGGACCGAAGGCTCCTGCTCCCAGGTCTCAGCACCCACTGTCCAGGAGGCCCTGGAGCTGGGCACCCTCCAGCGGGCACTGCCCAGCAGACCGGAACTCAGGGAACTCATGTGAGGTGCAGCCCAGCCCCGGGGGATGTTGAATCGCCCCCGTTCCACACACACCTGGGGCCCCACCGGCTGCAGCCGCCCCTCTCCAGGGACAGGCGGCCCTGCCTGCAAACGGCTCTGGTGGGCAGTGGGTTGCTCAGAGCTCTCCCCCCAAGTCCGGCCCACCCAGGAAGCACGTCCAGGAGAAGCAGCCTGCGGGTCTCCTCTGCAGCTCAGTTCCCTCGGAGGACTGCATTGGGCTGCACCTAGATGCCCCTTGGCACGGTCTCTGAGTCTTCAGATGGGAGCGATGTGGGTTCTTAGTGCCGCCTAAATGGTAAAATATTGTGCAGTTATTTGAAACAGTACAACTCTGTAGATGTTTCAGAGCCAGAGGCTGTGGCTAGCGAAAGAATCTGAGACCTGTACAAGAGACTGTATCTACCAGGGCGCTCCACAATATCCATGCTGCTTCTCTGTCATTTTCACATGCCCTGAAATTTTCCCCAATGTACATAAATTGCCTTTATGGTAAAAACAAATCTGTCTGTCTTAATGATAAACGTGCATGGTTATAAAGACTGGAAAAGCGGAGTGTGGGTCTTTTCAGTTGCAGAATGAGGGCGGGAATGGCTCAGGTGACAGCCTGGACACGGGTGGCCGTGGCCGTGGCCGTGCTGGCTGTGGGCGCATCCACCCCAACCTTGCAGGGAAATCGAGGAGGGGAGGGTGGCTGTGGTGCCAGCAGCTTCCAAATTCGTGGCCCCGGCTCTCGGAGAGAGAAGACTGGAGTCTGCCCAAAGGCGAGCTGAGAGAGGAGGTTAATGTGTTTTAAAGCACTTGGCCCAAATGAAATTATATAATCCAGGAAGGGACAGATCACACTGCTCATGAGTTTAAAAAGATAAATAAGGGGAAGAAAGGAAGCAAAGCCGTCGCCGTCTCCTTAGGGACAGCATCGGGAAGGGAGCAGCGGCTGCTTCCCCAGGGAGACACAAAAGGGAAGCCCCTCCTGCCCGGCCTCCCGCACCCAGACGGACGGCACTGCCACCTCCCAAGATCGGTGAGTCTGTACGGGTGAGGGGCGAGGAGCGGCTGCCGCCCTCCCGCCCAGAGTCTCCTTTGTCCGCTCGGGCTTCCCCTGACCCTGCCCGCCTGTCAGGACAGCAGGGCTGGTGCTGAGCGGGAGAAGCCAGGGCAGCATCTGCTGAGGTCTGGGCATCGGGGCACCGGCTCACTGCCCTCCTGAGCCTGCAGCCCATGCGCGGTCCACGGTGGAGACGCAGGCAGGGTGCCCCATGAGTGCCCCCAAAGCAGGGCCGGAGAGCCAGGCACACAGCCAGGCTGCAGCTGTCAGGGGCAGGTCCCAGGGTCAGTGCCCACGTCCTGTGCCCTCACGTGGCTGGGACAGTCCCCGGGGGAGCACAAAAAGGGCTGGTCCATTTGGGCTCCTGTCTTGATTACTTTCCAAGCTGGAACCCCCATTTCCTACAGGTTGGGGACCCCCGCCCCCAGGGGACCTCAATAGCGTTCTAAGAAGGGGGAACATTTTCAACAGCTCAGGTGGACAGCACTTCCTGTGGAGCTCGAGGAGGGGTAGGAAAGTTAAGGTCAGTGGCAGGGTCACCCCAAACCGAGCGGGCTTGTGGGCAGCAGCAGGTGCCTGTGGGGCAGGGGCGGGAAAGAGGGGGAAGGAGGGGTCCCCAGGCAGGTGGTGCCGCCTCAGCGCCACTGGGCAGATCAGCTCCTCTGCTCCCCAAGGCACAGGCTCCAGGGGGCCCCCTCCAGCCGCCAGTGGGGTGTCCGCCCCGGCCACAGGGTCCGGGTCTGTGGGTGCTCCCTTAGGGGCCACGTGTGGGGAAGGACTGCACGGAGTCCCACGCTCAGCACCTGCTGGGCGAGTCTCCACCTCCACCACCCGGGACCCTCAGGCCCCTGCAGGTGGGCAGACAGACCGGCCCCTCCCACCGCTCTTGGGCTCTTGGGGTGGAGGCTTCTCGGTGAGCAGGGCAGGCCCGCCCAGAGCCCTGGTTCAGGCGGATCAGAGGGCACACAGGGATGGCGCCCCGCATACCTGTGCACACGCTGCACACTCACACACACTGGGTGACCCAAAGAGACAGCGTTTCAACTCTTAAAATGCATTACGGTAAAAGTCTTATTGTTATCATTCCCTCAAAATACTTCAAACACATTTGTCCATTGGTCTTGCCACTGCCCAAGGCTGTCCTGGAGCCCTTTCCCAAGTGTCTTTGTGAGCTGTGATCAAAAATGCAGTGACTGCTGCTGCCGAGCGCCATCCCAGGGAAAAGAGTGTGGGAAAGCCTGGTGCTGGGTCCTCACCCTCCTCGTTCACCGGATGACACCACGGGGCTGCCGGCTCTTCCCCAAAGTCAAGATGACCATGAAAGGGAAATGCTTCGAATCCATTCAGGACAACAGAGCAGCAAAACCAGACACGGGAAAGGGCCCCAGGGCCGCTGCGGACAGTGGCACAGATGGAGGAGGAGCTGGAACCAAGGGGCATCTTGGGGGGCTCATGGTAGTGTCTTTTACTGCAGTGCACTTTTTATTTAAACACTACTTTCCGATCACACCTCGCATGCACACATACACTGGTCACAGTGTGCACATGTACACCCACTCACACCCACAAGCACACGTCTCTCACACGTGCACAGCAACACACGAGCTCGGGCCCTGGGTTTCCGCGCACGTGCCCACTCATGTGTGACTCGCTCCTCCTGCCCTGTGCAAAGGCTGCAGCCTCCCTGAGTGGATCCACCAGGAGGGGCCTCACCAGGAAGCCACATGGTGGCCTCAAGGGCCTGGCTCCTCTGCCTGCTGCTGCTGGGCCTGGGACTGCGGGCCGCCACCAGCCGTGCCCAGCAGCACTCCATGGAGGTCCGCAGTGAGTGTCCGCCTCGCCTGCCACCCCGCCCGGGTGCCCCGCACCATTCTGCCTCCATCCTGGGGCTGCCCGCCTGCTGACCACCCAGCTAGACAGCCCCCCCCCACTGGCACCCACAGCCCTGCTCAGCTTGCCTGATCCCAGAGACCCCAGGTGGGAGCAGGACTGGGAGGGGACACTGCTCCTGGGGACCTCGGATCCAGCGCTGCAGCCGAGGCCCATGGGGTGGTGACCCCGTCCCTGACCCCCAGCGCAGCACAGCAGGGGCTTCACCTGCTGCCCGTCTTTTCTTCCAGCCCCAGACATCAACCCTGCCTGGTACGCGGGCCGCGGCATCCGGCCTGTGGGCCGCTTCGGTCGGAGCAGGACAGCACTGCTCGGGGTCCCCGGGCCTGGCCCTCGATGCCAGCTGACCTGCCACTGGCCGCCAGGTGGCCCTGAGTCCCCCCGGGACAGGAGCTGGACGCGCTCCTGAAGACCCCAGCCTCTGCCCCTGCCCCCTACTGCGGTCCACCCTCAGCTGTCCTAATAAAGCCTGGCCTTGTCAGTGGCTCATCTGTGTCCGTGTGTCTGCAGACCGGAAGATGTCCCCTCCTGGGAGGACATTCGGTGCCCAGCAGCCTGTGTGGAAGGGGGATCTGGAATGGGCCTCAGTCGCCACTCCCACAGACCCTGAGCCACCCAGGCTGTCCCTTGCAGCTGCCCAGACTGCACACTGCACAAAGCCAGAGGATGCCACACCACACGCAGTTCACGCCCTGGAGCAGGGCAGCACCGGCTCGGCCCAGGCCCACCCACTCCCAGCTCCCCGCCCGAGACCCCAGGGCCTCCCCGTCCCTGGCCCTCCTCCACCCCCAGGAGAGTGGGGCTGTCTCCGCTCAGCCATGGGGAGACTTGAAGCGCAGTGCTCCAGCCCCAGGCCACATCCCTCTCCAGCCCCCGGGGACATCACAGACATCCCTGAGCCGGTGGGGCCTCTGCACCATCCCGTGGCTCTGTAAGCCTCCGGGGCCGTGTCCTCATCCCCAGGTCAGTGGCCCAGCACCCGTGCACCAGCCAGAGCTTGGGGCATGAGGCGAGGGTGACGCTTCCCATGCCCCCGACCCCACCTGGGGGTGACTGGGCACCTGCACCTCCCAGCCGGGACCCTCGACCCGGCCTTGCCCAGGAGGTGTGGTGGGTACAGGACTGGCGGCCAGGTCTGCTCTGGCCGGCGCAGCCCAGCCCAGGAGTGCAGCCCGGGGTTCTCACAGAGCCCCAGGCCTGCTGCGCTGCTCCCCACAGGACGGGAGCCGGTGCTGCTCTCAGAGGGCCTTGGCTGGGGCCACTTCCAGCTGCTGGCACGAGTGGTTAATTCCTGCAGCTCTGGAGCCAGACACCCACACCCCAGGGGTGGTGGGAGAGGCTGCTGCCCGGCTGGTAGGCAGCTGCCTCTCCCTTGTGTCCCCACAGGTGGAGGGGTCTCCCCTCCCATGTCTCTTCTCAAAAGGGCACTGGTCCTGTCCTGGGGCCTCCATCCTCACCACATCTCCTCCAAGGCCCTGCTCCCTATCACGGTCACACTGTGGGCCAGGGCTGAGGGTTTCAACCTGAGTTTGGGAGGGAACATAAATGTTCCATAACATCCCTCAAAACATGGGGCAGGGTAGCCACATGATAGAATATTATTCGGCCATGAAAAAGGAGGGGACGCTGACCCAGGCTGCAACCAGGTGAGCCTTAAAAACGTGTGCCGGACACACAAGACCACACACACTGTGTGATTCCGTGTGCATGAAATGTCCAGAATGCGCCATTTCACAGAGACAAAGGCAGGTTAGTGGCTGCCAGGGCCCAGGGAGGAGGCTGACTAGTGAGTATAGGGAATGGCTGATTTGTGGGCACAGGGCTTCCTCCCGGGCTGATGAAAATGTCTGGGGACCTCCAGGTGGTGGCTGAAGAATGTGGTGAATGAAATAAAAGCCACTGTGCCACAGGGACACATAGAAAAGAGGCCGCAGCCCAGAGGGGCAGAAATAGTGCAGGTGACCACAAAGGTGTGACCAGGACTCCAGGCCTGCATAGGTGGGCAGCCCAGGGATGTGGCCTGGGGTGGGGGGCCTCCAGCCACAGCCCAGGCAGGGCTCATCAGCCGGAACAAGGGGCTGCAAAGGGAGGGGCAGGAGGCCAGTGACCTCCACCAAATGCAACAGCACCTCTGTCATTGGGGCGGTGGCCTGAGGCTTCCCCAGCACCCGGGGACTCTGGGCCTCTCAGCAGAGGAGGTGTCTCAGTCAGCCTCTCTGTCCCAGGGCACGGCACCTCCTCACAGGGGAGAGGGTTAGTGCGGCTCATGGTTTCAGGAGATCCAGTCCATGGCTGGCTGGCTCCAAGTCACAGCAACATGGCAGAAGGGCCTGGAGGAGCAAAGCTGGTACCACGCTGGGTCTTGTCCGGTCCCTGGTGTCCTAAACAGAGAACTTAACAGGACACCGCAGAGTTGCAGAGGATGGATGATTTGTTTGAAAAATAAAAGACAAGATCCACTCCACAAGGCGGGAGCAGGTGGTGAGAAGAGCTTACAGCCCCCAGGGCTCAGTGCTGAGGGGTTTGGGGTGTAGGTTGAAGGGTGCTGTCTTAGTTACTTTTCTCGTTGCTGAAACAAAATACCCGACACCTGAAGTTGAAGGAGGCAAGGGTTATTTGGCCCACAGTTTGTAAAGGTTTCAGTCTATGGTCAGCTGGTTCCAAGGCAGGGTGGCGCGGCAGAGGGGCATAGCGAGAAGAAATAGTTCATGGTGGGCAGAAGGTAGCACAGCAAGCAAGGGATCTTAGCAGCTTCTTTCTGCCCCTTTTATGCTTCATCTGGGCTACCAGGATTAGGGCGGTGCCAAACCAATCAGTGGGCTGGTTTATTATCATCCACCCCTGATCCCAGCGTCACACACTCTAGATCCAGCCACCTCTGAAAGCCCCACCTGTGACCGTGTGAGGCCTTGGGGGAAATCCAGACACAGCCATAACTGCTGGGATTGAGGGTTTGGTCTGCCGCCTGGCTCCGCCCCTACTTCAGGCGCGGCTTTCGACCTTCCAAGGCCCTGGAGGAACTGTCCTGGCGTCCAGAGCCCACGGGTTCCGCGACGCATGGTCAGTGATACGGTAATGAGGGCCTCAGAGGCTGCGGGGCGCATGTGCGGACTCCCAGTGCAGAGGCTGAGCTCCCTGCTGCCTCCAGGCCCGGGCATCCCGTCCTCGGGTCCCCCAGAAAGCAGCTCCACAGTGGCCTCCCCGGCCGTTTCTTTGGTTACCTGATGCCTCAAATCCAGCCCAGGAAGTGGGCTCAAGGGGAGCAGACCCCACTCTTCCTCCAGCCTTCTCTCCGGCACCTCGGGCCCCAAAGCCCTGCCAGACCTAAACCCCAAGGCCACGCCCCCATGACCCGCCAGACACTCCCAGAAGTGGCTCCACCAATCCCCTGGGGGATCCCAACACCAATCACGATGAGACTCCTCCCTGCGGTTTAGCCTCTCGCGGAAAGGGTCCAGCTCCCCACCCCCACCCCCGACTTCCGCCTCCAGAACGCGAGGCCACAGAGTCTGCAGGAAACGGAATCCTCTTAGCTGTCCAGAGATTTATGTTTCCTACAGCTTCCCATAATGACAGTTTTCAAACACACAGAAAGTCTAAGACAGAAGCTTAATAGCTGGATATAGGGGTGCCGGGCGTGGTCCCAGCACTGTGGGAGTCTGAGGCAGGTGGGTCACAAGCCTGAGCCCAGCCTGGACAACTCAGGTGCCTTAATGAGAACCGGTCTCAAACTGTATCTGTATATGGCTGACGCTGTGGCTCAGAGTGAAGGCCCTGGGTTCAACACACAAAAAGGATAGCTATCTTCTACACAACCGCAAAATCATACCTGAAGACATTTTAATAATTTCATACGACCCAGTATTTAGTCCATACTCAGAAATCCCCAACTACAGCCAGGAATAATTCTTCAGACGTTTTGTTAGCCAGGCTCCAATTAAAACGCACAGTTACTTTTGTTATCCCCGGCCTGCGTTTTGCATGTTTCCATGACACAACTCGGGTGTCCGTGTGGCGTGGCAAAGCGACACTCCTGCTGTCCTCCCTGCTGGGCACAGGCTCTGTCCCGCCTCCCTGGCTCCTTCCTGAGGGGCCCCCACTCCCCACCGGCCTCCAGTCCTCAGGTCCCCTGGTCACCCACACGCAGGCGGCCGCGTCATGGCCAGGTCGGCCGGTATCCTGACCCCTCCCACGGCCTTGGCAACAGGGCAGCGCCCCACTCCCCACCCTTCCCTGCAGGAGTCTCCAGGGACAGATCTGCCTCTGACGCTCTTGTTATTTAGTACCTTACAAATAACTCTTAATGCCAAGAAGGAAATACATTTTTTAAAAGGAGGAATTGAGCTGGGCCTAGTGGTGTATGCCTGTAATCCCGGAATCTGGGAGGCTGGGGCCGGAGAATTGCCCTAAATTGAGGCCAGCACATACAAAGCCCCTGTCTCAAAAAAAACAAACCAAACCATAAAACAGAGAGAGAGAGAGAGGGACAGAGACAGAGAGAGAGGAACCCTATGGACAGACATCTGACAGATGCCCTGCGCATTTCCCACTCTGTTCCTCCAGGAAACTAAGCAGAAAGGATACAGAGCCAGCACCCAGGACCAGGGTGTGGCCTTGCTTGTGGCAGTGCTGGGTCGCCATCTAGTGGCCATCTGCAGCCCGGGCCTCCGGCTCCCCCCAGGTGGCCCAGGCTCCTCCTGTAGGTGCGAAGCCCTGCTCAGCCTTGGGGTGCGGGAGGACCAGGCTGGGGACCCCGGGCACACAACGCGCTACTTCGGCTGTCGGGGAGTCATCTCGTGAACACTGTCCAACTTTAGCGGCCATGAGAAACTGCACTTAGCGGGGCGTGGTGGTGGACACCTGTCATCCCAGCCCTCAGGAGGCTGAGGCAGGAAGATCCCTGAGAGTTTAAAGCCAGCCTGAGCTACATAGTGAGTTCAAGGCTAATGTGGACTACACAGCGAGACCCTGTTTCAAAAAAGCCCTAGGAAGACCTCCAAGAATACAGCCGCCAGGCTCTCCCCCACTCAATCTCATGAAATGACCAAAGCCAAATTGCCAAAAGCAGTTTAATCTTTAGAGAAAAGGGCTCCTCAACAGCGTCCACATCTCAGGGCGAAGGTCGCAGGGTCCCATGCTCCCTGCTCAGCAGCAGGGCTCCGGGACCCAGGCCGCAGGGGGCGGGGCAGTGGCCCTGAGGCTCCACCCGGCCTTGCCTCCTCTCCCGGGCGGGCCCTCCTCCCCAGCCAGCTCGCCAGGATCAGTTTCTCCTCTGCTGGTGGCGAGGCTGCGGACAGGGTGACCCCGGGCGGGCGGGCCTGGACTGGGCAGCTCGAGTCCAGGAGCCCCGGGACAGTCACCCCCGTGCCAGCGAAGGCAGACGAGGCCGGCTGGGGCGCACCGCGCGCA